TTAAATAAGATGCAGAAAGCCCTAAACCAAAAAAATATTGACTAAGTTAAGGTTTTTTCAGATTTAAATTCATTAAAGCACTTCTGTTTATCAAAAAGTTGCATTAAGAGATAGAAAAAGACAGTCCACTTTTAAAGAATGAACAAAAGACTTAAAATGAATTTTGCCAGAAAAATTAAAAAGATACATAAATGGTCTCTTAAGCACATGAAAAAGTACTCAATGATGAGGTGCAGTGGCTCACGCCTGTAATCCCAGCACTTTGGGAGGCCAAGGCGGGCGGATTACTTGAGGTCAGGAGTTTGAGATCAGCCTGAGCAACATGGTGAACCTGTCTCTACAAAAATACAAAAATTAACTGGGTGTGATAGTGTGTGCCTGTAATCCTAGCTACTCGGGAGGCAGAAGAATTGCTTGAACCTGGGAGATGGAGGTAGCAGTAAGCCTTGATCGTGCCACTGTACTCCACCCTGGGCAACACAGCAAGACTACATCTCTCACACACACACACACACACACACACACACACACACACACAGTTATTCAACAACCTTAGTCCTCATGGAAATCAAATTAAACTCGATGAATACCACTATACACCCCACAAAATGACTAAAAGTAAAAATACTGATAATTTGCAGTATTGGTAAAGAGGTAGAGCAGCAGTGTTAGGAGGGTTATGAATTGGTATAGACATTTTGGGTAACTGATGGTATCTACTTCTTAATAAAATAAGCTTTCTCTGTGACCCGAGCAGTTTTTCTTTGTTATATACCTAAGATAAATATGTGTATGGATATACATAGCATTTGTAATAACCCCAAACTGGAATAATTCAAATAGTAAAGATACTGTCATAGATTCATACAGTGGAATACAGGTTGAATATTTCTTATGCAAAATGCTTGGGACCCGAAGTGTTTGGATTTGGGATTATTTATTTATTTATTTTTTAAGTGCTACTGCAGCTCAGTTGGATTTGGGATTTTTTCAGATCTTTGAATGTGCATTATACTCACCAGTTAAGCATTGCTAATCCTATAATCCGAAATGTTCCAATGAGTATTTTATTTGAGCATCATATTAGCACTAAAAAAGTTTTGGGTTTTGGAGCATTTTGGATTTCAGATTAGGGATATTCAACCTATATTTCAAATGACTGTTAAACACTATTAAATGGATTTATCTCACAGATGCAATAATGAGCAAAAGAGCATTACTGTGTTTCTTTTTATCTAAAAGTCAAATTAAACACATCAATATATACCGATGGCAGTAAGAATAGTAACCTCAGGCGTTACTGTCATTGGTTAGGACACGGGGAATCTCCAGGGTTGCAGGAACCATTCTGTATCTTGATCTGGGTGGTGGTTACTCAGGTATATAGATAGTTAAAAATGCATTGAGTTACACCTATAAAGTTAGTATACTATATGTATGTAATATGTTAAAATATTTTCTAAACAGTAATAAGTATGGTAGATATTTTGCTATAATGGGATTTTATCTGGTCTGAAATTACTACATGCAGAAAATTTCTAGGAAATTTTTGATTCAGAAATTTTACATGGTGAGGTGGAAAAAGTACTGGCCTTTGAGTTAGAAGACTGGTTCTGAATCCATCTCTGCTACTTCTCCCTCCCTCCAGTCTTATCAAACCTGGGTACTGTGATCTTCTGCGAGTTATTGAATCTCTGTCATTATACAGTGGAGATAATAACTTCCCTTTTCAGTGCCTGAAGTGTGAAAAGGATTAAATGAAATGATTGATGTGAAGGTGCTTTGCACCTAATGAAGTATGCTGATTTATAGTATCTTTATAATCCAGCGAGGTTCTTATATCCAAAAACTGGAAACCCTCCTGGATGTTGGGATAGCAGTCTCATTGCCCTGTGTAACAGGTTGCCTGGATGATTTCTTCCTTTTTTCAGATAATTGAGAAATTTGAAGTGCTCTTAGAAATCTTGAGAGTACATAAAGGAGCAGGACTTTTGAATTGGAAGACACCGGCAGTTGGCCTGAGACATCTGCCTTATTCTGTCAAACCTTTGGCTAATTTATTTCTAATTCCTAAAACCCTTGTCAGAGTTGTAACCATTGGGCTAACCTTTAGCTTCTGTAACTGCATTCATCAACTTTTAAGATGTGACCGATTATTAAATGCACTTTTATGTGCCACTAAGTCGGCGGGGGGAGGACTACCAATTATAATTGTAAGAAGTTTTTAATGGCAAGAGTCTCACATCTTCAGAGATATTAATTAAGGGAGAAATGTGCATCCTACAGTCAGTGAAATATAAAAAGTTTCTGTGCAGTGTGTTTTTGTTTTGGTAAATTTTTAGTTTCTGTGGATTTGCACGATTTACAAGTTGAAACATTTTATAGCTCTGTAAAAATGCTCGAGTTACACAGTTACTCACTTGGGAAGTCAAAATTATACAGAGGAAGTAAAATAAATACTAGGTAAAATATTCATCACTTTCATTTGGCTATTTTAAATGGACACGCTGAAGTGACTCACATTAGTCTTTTGACTTGGTAGTGACTGCCATCAACTTACAACTAAGTTTTGGCAATTCACTGTTTTTCTTGTTCATTGCTATTATCCGTAAGCAACTAATACACAGTAACCTCACAAGCATTTGTTGAGTGATTTAATACCGTTTGTAAGTAATTACTTTTAGCTGTGTATTTGTTGTCTAAAGCCAGTATGAGACCTTTAATTCTTCCAAGGTGAATACTTTTTTTTTTGATGCGGAGTTTTGCTCTTGTCTCCCAGGCTGGAGTGCAGTGGCACGATCTCGGCTCACTGCAACCTCCACTCCTGGGTTCAAGCAATCCTCCTGCCTTAGCCTTTCAACTAGCTGAGATTACAGGCATCTACCACCATGCCCAGGTAGATATGTTGGCTAGGCTGGCCTCAAACTCCTGACTTCAGGTGTGAGCCCCAGGCCAGCCACATTTTTTTTTCTTTAACTAAAAAAAGCATTTAAAACTAAAGCTGAGATGTCTTTTTGGTGTTAGAAAAAGCCAAATGTGCCTCAGAAGTAGGTAATTGATGTTTGAGAGCTAACACTAAGGAAGCTATATTCTCATAATAAAAGCAGTTCTGCTGATCATTGTTTTTTTTTTGTTTTTGGTGTTTTTTTTTGAGACGGAGTTTCACTCTTGTTACCCAGGCTGGAGTGCAATGGCGCGATCTCGGCTCACCGCAACCTCCGCCTCCAGGGTTCAGGCAATTCTCCTGCCTCAGCCTCCTGAGTAGCTGGGATTACAGGCACATGTCACCATGCCCAGCTGATTTTTTGCATTTTTAGTAGAGATGGGGTTTCACCATGTTGACCAGGATGGTCTCGATCACTTGACCTCGTGATCCACCCACCTCTGCCTCCCAAAGCTGATCATTGTTTTGATTTTCAGTGGTAGTCTTATAAACCAGCATATTTGCTGAAGTACATTTGAATATTATCTGTGTCTCCTCTTTATTGCCTCCTTTTTACTTTTATATTAATGGAATATATAGCTTTTGCATGTGGAGGCCTTTTTTTTTAAGCCTCTTATTGACTTGAAAAAGGAATCAGCAATTTTTAGCAAGAAACATTTGGACTTTTATTTTATGATTGAGATGGAGTCTCACTCTCACACAGGCTGGAGTGTAGTGGCGCAATCTCAACTCACTGCAGCCTCCGCCTCCTGGGGTCAAGTGAACCTTCCACCTCAGCCTCTGAGTAGCTGGGACCACAAGCATGCACTGCCATGCCCAGCTAATTTTTTGTATTTTTGGTAGAAATAGGGTTTCATCATGTTGCCCGGGGTGACCTAGAATTCCTGAGCTCAAGCAGTCTGCCCATGTCAGACTCCCAAAATGCTGGAACTATAGGTGTTAGCCTCCATGCCCAGCCTTTATTTTTATTTTTTTAGAGACAGGTTTTTGCTGTCACCAAAGCTGGAATGCCCTAGTGCCACCATAGGTCACTGCAGCCTCAACCGCCTGGCCCCAAGCAGTCCTGCTACTATGCTAGGTTAATTTTGTTGTTGTTGTTTTTAATCTTTTGTAGACACAGGCTGGTTGCCCTGCTTTGTTGCCCAGGTTGGTCTCAAACTCCTGGCTTCATGCAGTCTTCCCGCTTTGGCCTCCCAAAGTGCTGGGATTACAGGTGCAAGCCACTGCTTCCAGCCTATTTTCTTAAATGCCATTTCAAGATCAAATGAGAGCTCAGCAGTAAATATAAAGTTAAAGGGAGACAGGGGAGATGGCCATGAATGGAGATGATTACAAGTTGAGTTCAGTAGGGCAAATAAGAAACTGTTCTCTCTATGTACCATTCTACTCCACTTCATCCTGCAAGTTACTGGAAACCATATTACCTTATTGTTCAGTAATGGAAAAATGCCTCACTCCATCTAAATAGCCTTTAGAGGTTTTAATATGATACTCTAGTGGGACTATAACAGTATGTTAAAATTTAATACATAGTTGATATCTTTTTGTATTTGTTTTGATCAGAAAGTGGAGATACTGGTTGCTGAAGTTTTGGGGACTCCTGATAACATTCTAAGAAAGTGTGTGAAGCTAAATCACCTACTGACAATTACTATTTAATCTCCCTTTCTTCATAGCACATTGTTCTAAGTGATGCTATTCTGGCATCCTACTACATGCAAGATGAGAAGGCAGGCCAAACCTTAAAGGATGCTGGCTCTGAAGTCTTTTAGGTCTCTTCAGCTACTAGGCCCCAAGTTGGCCATGCGACAGCAAAGAACAGGACTGGATTTCATCAGCAGCAGACTTGAGGCACATCATCAGGAGCCAGTAACAATGGAAATAGAAGTCAAAGATCATAGAATTTCCAACATTATTTTAAACCATGGGACCAAATAGGGTAGTTTGCTGCCTGTGTCTTTTCTGATTTTTAAAATATGGGCATGACTCTTTTTAAAAGATTGTTATTATATAAGTAAATTTTAGAAAACTGACTGTTGTATTTATTGTTTGTCAGTACGCGGATGTCGACCAGGAAAGATTGTGCAGATGACTGAAGCAGAAGTTCGGGGTTTATGTATCAAGTCTCGGGAGATCTTTCTCAGCCAGCCTATTCTTTTGGAATTGGAAGCACCACTGAAAATTTGTGGTATGTAAACGGGTAAAGTTGCAAAAAACTCTTTTGAATCCTGTTTTTCCTCCCATGTTTATGTTGAAGAAGAGCTAGAGAAAACATTTTCTGAAAATTTTGTATAAAACAGATCAGTAGGCTTTACTAAATAAAAGTGTATAAAAATTGAAATCTTTACACCAATGACAAGTTACAGACAAGAAGAAAGTACTTGCTATATTTACAACAGGTAAAAGTACTTTTGTTCTGTTTATAATATATAAAGAGTTCTTATAAATAAGAGAAAGACATTGCAATATAAAAATAGCAAAGAAAGAGGAAGATCTTAGAAGAAATTCAAATGGCCAGTAAACACCACAGGGTCCTCAGCCTCTCTAGTAATCAGTGATGTGCAGTTTAAAACAAGTCTCCAGATCTAGTCAGATTACACAAAAAATACCAAAGATTAATGTTTAATGTTGTCAAGGATGTCAAGAAAAGGGCATTTTAGTACACTGGTTAGGAAAAAACAGGTATAATTTAGGGGGTCTATCTGGCAATATCTGTGGTTTTCTAAATTTGATGTTAAATTTATTTTGAAGATTATACTACTTTATAACTTGTATTCTTTTAAGTTTTACAAGTGGCTTTTTAACAGTTCATTGTACAGTGCCCAGCACATAAGAGATACTAGCTAAGTAAATGTTTGTTGAATGGATCAATTAGTGTAGAATTTCACACCTTCAAAGTAAGAGGTAGTAGTTCAGGGGGAATAATTAGTCCCCTGTTTAAACTTAAATGAAGCAAATGTAATAACTTAAAGGTGATCTCAAAATGATTAGAATTATTATTTGAAGGTGTTCTTTAAAATATAGAAATAACTTTGAAGGTAATAGAAGTTATTTGTACTACATATTTCTAAAATTTTATTATTTGTCTCCATATTTGGCATTAAAAAGTGACCTAAGTTAAACTGCCAGGTAATAAGATTGTGTCAGTTGTCTATTGTTGTATAATAAATCATTCCAAAACTTTGCGGCTTACAGCAACATTAATTTACCATCTCAATTTTTGTGGGTCAGCTTAGTGGGTCCTCTGGCTCTGGGTCTCTCACAAGGCTCCAATTAAGTGTGATCTCGGGCTGCAGTCATCTGAAGGTTGAACTATGAAAGGATTCAGTTCCTTATAGACTGATGGACTAAAAGCCTCAGCTTCAAATGAGCTGTTGGCCAGAGGCCTCCCTCAGTTCTTTGCTACATGGGATGCTTCTTCATTAGATAGCTGGTTTCATCAGCAAGTATGAAGAAGGTGAGAGTGCAAACAAGATGAAAGTCACAGTCTTTTGTAACTTAATCTTGGAAGTGACAGCCCATCTCACTTTTGCTTGTTAGAAGTAAGTTACTAAATATAGCCCATACTCAAGGGCAGGGGAAGATTACACAGGATGTAAACGTTGGGAATCATTTCAAAGAAACTGCTTATAACAGTAACCAATTTTTGTAAAACTGACTTTTTCTCTTTTTAGGAGATATTCATGGACAGTATACAGATTTACTGAGATTATTCGAATATGGAGGTTTCCCACCAGAAGCCAACTACCTTTTCTTAGGAGATTATGTGGACAGAGGAAAGCAGTCTTTGGAAACCATTTGTTTGCTATTGGCTTATAAAATAAAATATCCAGAGAACTTCTTTCTCTTAAGAGGAAACCATGAGTGTGCTAGCATCAATCGCATTTATGGATTCTATGATGAATGTAAGTGAAAATAAAGACTTAGAAAAGTAATTCATGGAAGGATTGCCAAATAATTTTCTGGTTCAGAAGAGTTCCTTTGATTCAGAGTTTTTTCAAAATAAGATCTATCAGGCATACGCCAGGAAGAGGAACCTGAAACTGGGAAACGTCACTAATTAAATTGGTTCCTTCAGATATCCTTGGTCATGTTCCAGATTGACTGCAGCTTACCTGGCTGAAGAGGTTCTTTTAAAATTAGTTTATCTAGTAAACCATCCAGGCAAAACAGAAGTCTGTGGCTTCTGGTTTTCTATTGTCCATTAAGGTTTTAGCTCTCAGCATTCTTGTGGTATGACAAAAGCTCTTATTAGTCCTGTGTCACAAGAGTTATTGAGAAGTTCTATGAAACTATTTAAAAGTCAAAGTTTAATATTATTAGAATTTAAATCTGTGTCTATAAACCTTGAAAGACAAAGATACTGAATACTCTGGGGTATCCTTAGTTTTATTCTCTTTTTCATTAGTAGCAAATCACTGATTTCGTTTTGTGCAGTAATGTTTCCAAGTATTATTATTAAAATACCCTACTAGATTCAAATGTGGTCTTTTGGTTTTATTAGATAAGAGTGCAAAAGTATATGTTTGGTTAATTACAACTTAGAATCAGTTGTGATTTTCAAATTGATTTCTTTTCATTGCTGTTTTCCCTATTAGAATCTACTTTTGCTCTTTTTTTAATCCTTAATTTTGTTAGAGACTTATTCAAAGTCGTCTTCTCGATTTATATAATGATTTGACAAAGTTTGAGGGTATATGTGCCAGGCACTATTGTGAACACTGTGCATGAAGCACTACACAATACAGATGATCTCTGTTCTCATGGAGCTTACATTCTAATAGGAATGATTCTGCATTTGATTTTATATTATATTTTTATTTCTGAGATGTGCTGTGTGGTTTGAATTACTTAAATCAGACTAGAAGAGAGAAAGTGGGTTTGAGTACATCAAACTACAACATTCTTCCTAAAGCTACATCAGAGATGGAGGTATATTTTTAAAGGATAAAAGATAGGCAGGAATGTCCTTGGGGATAGAAATGACATCAAATAAAATAATGTATAGGAGAGCAACTTGTAAACAATACTTTGAGTTATATACTTATAAAGGAGCAGGCTGTGGCATAAAAGCACAGGAAGTTAGTACTTACGTCTTTCATCTCTTCCCTAGGTTAGCAGTTGTACCTTATTACCAAATTCAGGAAAATCAAATGACTCTAAAAAGGTGAACATACACTTGAGGTTGTCTTTGTTGTAGCTTTTTATACTAGGCTATAGGAAAATTATAGCCTTTGTGCCTTGGCACCATACTTGCTATAGTGCCAAGTTGTAATTCACACAAAGGAGAATACCAGTTAAACACTTGGAAATTTTCCTTCATTGGCAATAAGTTTATACTGTGTTTCTCAATACACTGTTAAATGGACAGTTTCCAGAGGCAACCTTTCCCTTTTGCTTGCTTGTTTGGCTAGTTCACACATTGGAGAGGAAAAAATGAACTATGAGGCCTATTAGACTGTTTAAAAATTGCTATATTATAGGCTGGGCGCGGTGGCTCAAGCCTGTAATCCCAGCACTTTGGGAGGCCGAGGCGGGTGGATCACGAGGTCAAGAGATCGAGACCATCCTGGTCAACATGGTGAAACCCCATCTCTACTAAAAATACGAAAAATTAGCTGGGCATGGTGGTGCGTGCCTGTAATCCCAGCTACTCAGGAGGCTGAGGCAGGAGAATTGCCTGAACCTAGGAGGCAGAGGTTGCGGTGAGCCGAGATCGTGCCATTGCACTCCAGCCTGGGTAACAAGAGCGAAACTCCATCTCAAAAAAAATTGTTATATTATAATGATCTTAACAGGCAGACTGTTTGATGAATTTCATAAAACCCTTAGCACAATCTGTGGGTTTTTTAAAGTGTTAGATTTGATTAGGTTTATTTAAGTTGTCAGAAATTGTATGTATTTGTGATGGACAACATGATGTTTTGAACATCATGAGAGGATCTTATCTTCCTGCCTATAACCATTGCAGAATGGTTAAATCTAGCTGATTTAACATATGCATTATCTCAAAAGGTTAACACTTATAATTTAGTATTTTGCAAAGATACAATATAGTGTTTTGACTATAGTCACTATGTTGTACAATAGATCTTATGTATTTATTCCTCCTACCCAACTGATACTTTGTATTCTTTGACCAACATCTTCCCATCCCACCCTTACCCCAGCATAATCTTTGAAGTCTTGGTAACTTTACTGAAGGTATTGAATATTTACTATATTTGTTGCCTTTTAAAAAGTATGTAAATAACATTTATGCATTATAGAAAAAGTTCTGTATAGATAAACATGAAGAAAGAAATGAAATCATTCATAATGCTATGGCTTTGAGATAACAGATGAGAACAGTTTTAGATTTTTTAATTTATTCTAACTATTCTTTTTATAGGCAAACGAAGATTTAATATTAAATTGTGGAAGACCTTCACTGATTGTTTTAACTGTCTGCCTATAGCAGCCATTGTGGATGAGAAGATCTTCTGTTGTCATGGAGGTAGACTAGCAAATTTGCCTTACAGATTTTCTTATTTTATTATTCAGAAAATACCTACAATAATTAGACTGTGGGAAAACAAAGCAGTGCTTGTGTGAAAGCTCAAGTGATTTAAAACTGTTTTAAACATGGCTAAAACCTCTTTTAATAATTACAGATTTATTTATAAATGAAAATGTAATGCTTTAAATATAGTTTCACATATGAAGAGGATAACTGGAGTTGTTGAAGAAAGTCTGCTTTGCCTCGAGTTTTGACAGAAAGACACCTCTGCTGTTTATTAGTAAAAATGAGAGTATTGTTATCTTCCTGCCTGTATTGAAATCTTTGAACAGAATCCAAATAAATTGAGTTTAATATTCACATATGTCAGGAATTCTAGGCTTCATATAATATGTCTGCTTTAGCCTTAATAATAAAATAATTTTTGGTAGATTTGAAGTTACTTTGGCTTATGAAATAAGCTTGAAGTTTATTTTGAAAGTTTATTTGAAAAATTAATGTATATGTCTAACACCTGCTTAGATGCCATGAAAATATGTAGATAGTTTATGATCTGACCATTTTGAAGAGTTAACCTATTGCCAAGATATATTTATGAAGCAGATAATAGAGTAATAAAAGGTATTTAATATATCAGTACTTATTAAGACAGTAATTATGAGAAGTCAGGAAGAGGAAAGATAGACTGGATACATGTGTGAGGCATGGGAAGTGAAAAGGAATTGAGACACTCTTCGTTGTCTAGTGATAGGGTATGTTTAAGAACTGGCCTGACTAGAATGTCAAGTATATGCTGGAAAACGATGGGATCAGATTATAGAGATTTGAATATTGAGCAAAGGAATTTGTTGAATAATTTAATAACCATATAGGGTTTTTGCACAGGGAAGTATTTAATGGAAATAGTGTAAGAAAATTAGTTTTTCATCAATATACAGGAAGAATTAAAGTGGAAAAAACACTGAAAAGATAGATGCACTTGCCTAGGCCTGAGGTAATCAATGGTTTATTCTCTGGCAGAACATAACTCACTATATTACTTGAAATATGTTTTCCAGTAGGTACTTAAACATGTAATGAATTTTAGTTCTTGTACATTAGTTTAGCTAAGGTTAGAAATGTAGCAGTATGGATATGAATGTTTACCTTTATTCCTTGTGATCATACTTGGATTGCCTACCTGAGAGAAATAATAGCTTATATTTATGTGCAACTTTAAAGATTGCAAATTATTTTTATGAGATTTTCCTGTTAATCCTTCTGATTAATAGTTTATGACTTCATGAAAATAATAAACATGTTGGAGTGGGATTCGAAAAGAAGGTCTTAGGGGGAACCAAGTGAGACATTTGAACTTGGAAGTAAAAATGTTTAAGATCAGTGGTGAGAAGTGGCAAAAGTGGTAGGAAGAGTTGCAGTTGATTATGTTCCTGTGAAAGCAGGGAATAGTTGGAAAAAAGAATGGTGGGCTTTTTTTCCTTGCGAAATTTCTTTTGAAATATAAAGGAATTTCATTTCCCTGATAGGGAAAAATGGAAAAAACAACGTAACTGTAATGCTCTATTATATCAACATGGGATTCATAATAACTCTGTTGACCTTTAAAAGGAATACTTTAAGTATTTTTAAGAATCTGAACAGCAGTTCCTGAATTCCGGGGGGGGGGGGGGTATTTTTAATTTCACAAAGTGAATCTATTTTGAATAAATACTTTTTATTCAGCGACTATTAAAATGTTTAGCTATCAGGACTGTGTCTCATCTTTTTATTTATAGGATTGTCACCAGACCTGCAATCTATGGAGCAGATTCGGAGAATTATGAGACCTACTGATGTCCCTGATACAGGTAAGTATAGAGAGAAGTTTAATTAATTGTTTCGTGTGAAATGTTGGCATATTCGAACCTGATTATATTCAATGGAAGTAGGATTGATTTATGTAATAAATAACGGAGCTCTTTTTATAGTCAGTAAGCTAACTACAGATTATTTACAGTAATACAAAATTTTTTACTTTGCACTAATCCTCAAAATGTGGAACCTTTTATTTATAGTCATATGGTTTTATCACATTTAGTTGATTACAAAAAAGATCTTGGTATTGATTCCTCATATCTTCCTATTTTTCTGAATTTTCTTATTCATATTGGCATTGGTTATATTTTTCAAAAACTTGTTAAATTAGCCAAAAGATTTTTCAATTAAAATAATCTGTTCTTTGCTTCTTAGACAAAGATACAGCTACCTTCTTTTCAGTTGTCTAGTAGCTTTTTCTTTTCTATATCCTCTATTTCAGATTTTTAGAGCCTTTTTCAGTGGGATATGGGAAGGATTTTACTCTGTTGCCCAGTCTGGCCTCGAATTCCTAGGCTCAAGCAGTCCTCTTGCCTCATCCTCCTGAGTAGCTGGGACTCCAGGCGTGTGCTAAGCTTGGCTTAGATTTTTAGAGCTCTTAGGCTCTAGAGACCTGCAAACAATTCTGTAAAAATTAGATTTGAAAATCTGTGGGAAGATGGGGAGCAGTGGCTCACACCTGTAATCCCAGCACTTTGGGAGGCTGAGGCGGGTGGATAACCTGAGATCAGGAGTTTGAGACCAGCCTGGCCAACATGACAAAACCCCGTCTCTACTGAAAATATAAACATTAGCTGGGTACGATGGTGCATTGTCTGTAATCCTAGCTACTTGAGTGGCTGAGGCACGAGAATCACTTGAACCCGGGAGGCATAGGTTGCAGTGAGCTGAGATCCGAACCACTGCACTCTAGCCTGGGCGACAGAGTGAAACTGTCTCAAAAATTAAAAAAAAGGAAGAAAAAATAACAGCAAAAAATGCTATTTGAGACTACGCATCAACCATTATAAATGGTATAGATCCTCTGATGTCAGTAGCCATGTATTACACTGTATGTTATAATAAATTGTATTATGAGCTTTTTTATATAACACAACTTGTGTTATTTTTTAAAGTATACATTTTATTGTAATTATAGAATACATTTGACTAAACCTAATAGAAACTAGTATTTAAACGGCATCTTAAAATGCTATTTTTAGCCTGGTGCACTAGCTCATGCTTGTAATTCCAGCACTTTGGGAGGCCGAGGCAGAAAGATCACGTAAGACCAGGAGTCAAGACCAGCCTGGGCAACATAACACCCATCTCTACCAAACAAAAAAAAATTTTTTTTTTTAATTAGCCAGGTGTGGTGACGCTCCAACTACTCAGGAGGCTGAGGGAGGAGGATCAGTTGAGCCCAGGAAGTTGAGAATGCGGTGAGCTGTGATTGTGCCCTGCACTCTAGCCTGAGTGACAGAGTGAGACCCTGTCTTAAAAAAAACACCTAAAATATTGTTTTTAAAATAAGGTGTATAAATATGTATTACTGGTCATTCTTCAGAATTTCTGTTTATAGTTCAGATACAAATTTCGAGTGTTACATGCTAGGCTTCTATTTTTAGCTATTTTATTTATTTTAGCATATTTTAATGAGAAGTTGAGATGCTGAAAATGGTTACTTTACTCTTTGATAGTGGCTGTAACCTTTAGAAATTTAATTTATAAATTAATATCTTATTTGAAACAGTAGCCTAGTTGATTGTGATGCTAGTTAATTAAACAATGAACCTTGACTCTGAAATTTTTACCTTGATTCTGTTAAGGTTAAAGAATTTCAGATTATTGTTGCCACCATTGATTTTTTAATGCATCCAGACTATTCTGTTTCCTAAACCTAATTTTATACAGTTTTATTGTCACTGAAATTATGGGGGTTTTTTGTCGTTGTTTTTGGTTTTTTTTTGTTGTTATTGTTTTTGAGATGGAGCCTCCCTCTGTTGCCCAGGCTGGAGTGCAGTGGCACAATCTCGGCTCACTGCAACCTCCGCCTCCTGGGTTCAAGCGATTTTCATGCCTCAGCCTCCTGAGTAGCTGGGCCTACAGGCACATGCCACCATGCCTGGCTAGTTTTTTTTTGTATTTTTAGTAGAGATGGGGTTTCACTATATTAGCCAGGCTGGTCTCGAACTCCTGACCTCGTGATCTGCCCACATCAGCCTCCCGAAGTACTGGGATTACAGGCATGAGCCACTGCCCCTGGCCAATTATAGATTCTTAATACCTTAGCTTTCTACTCAGTGGTTCATCTCTGGAAACAGGCTGGAAAGTGTGAGAGCATTATTAAGCACTGGGTGGGTGTGTATTTTTGAAGAGTCAGCATCAATCAGAAGGGGCATACAAATTGCGATTGACTGATTCCAGTGGATTTTGTGTGCTAGTGAATTTCTTAGAACATCGTAGGGGGAGCTTGGGACATATCAGCAATAGAAATTAAGAGTACATTGCCACTAATTCTGCAAATGGTTTTATAATTCCTCTATCAGGATATGATGTAACTGAAAATGAAGATGCCCTTTCCTCCTAAACCATACTATGATTTTTATGGATTCTTTAAAATTCTTAAAACTGACTTACTCTTTAAAAAATATCTTTTCTTAGCCACTGTAATTTTTAGAAAATCACTTACTATCACCATCTCAACATTCACCCTACTTTTAATATCACTGCAATTGGACTTTTACCTACTCTCTTACACTCAATTACCAAGAAACTGCTTTCATTAAAGTCTGATGATATAATTGTAAGTGGCACATTTTTGGTCTTTGTCCTGTCTACTTGTTCATGGCACATTTCCTGCTTTTAGGCGGTTCTGTCCCCTTTAAGGATAACCTTTACTGTACTCATCTCTTTGTCTGGATCATTCCTTCCCAATATTTATGCTCATTCTCCCTAATATTTATGCTCATTCTCCCTCATCTGCCTGCCTATTAAATGTTTGAATTCCTCAAAATTAATTTACTGGTATTCTCACTTTGTATTCCCAAGGTGGTCTGGGTCCCTCCTTAAGATACCTGCTACCATTAATATGATGACAATACCCAGATAAATATTTTTAACTCTGACCTCTTTTTCAGGGCCGCAAACATTACTAAAGTCAAGGATCTGATCGGATTTTATTCCTCCACACTAAAAAAAAAAAAAAAATCCTCAGGGCCTTAGTAGAAAATGTTTTTTTTTCCTCAAGTGATCTATATGTCGAATACAATTCCATTGAAATCACAATTGAATTTTTTATGGAATTAAGCAAATCGTTTTTAGCGTTTATATGGAAGAATAAAGGATCAAAAAGTAATCAAGACAATCCTGAATTTAAAAAAAAAAAAAAAAAAGGATACTACCCCTACCAAATATAAAGACTTGTTAAAAGCTCTAGTCTGTTATTGGCTCAGGGATAAATAAAATAGACTAACGGAATAGACTGTGGTGCTCAGAAACAGTGGAACTATAAAGAAAGGATGAACTATTGAGGAAATAACCGCTGGGTTCATTCGTTATTCATATGGAGAAACTGTACACAAAAGATGAACAGCCTTTTCCATATATTGTTGTTGTAAGTGTGCCATACACATATTTCCTATACGTGGAAAGGGTTGGAAAGTTCTACCTTAAGAGGCCATGGAAGATTATATCTGTATGGTTGCTTTCCCAAAAGTGTTAAGTTACATAGGCTGGAATATTTGGGCAAGTGATTGTCATTGTTTAGTAAAAGGTAAGAGGGCAGGAGAGGAACTGAAATGTGATGTAGATTTGCTATGTTCTATGAATCTATAAATTTTTTTCTTAATTGCTGTATTTCTGTCCTTTAAAGGTTTGCTCTGTGATTTGCTGTGGTCTGATCCAGATAAGGATGTGCAAGGCTGGGGAGAAAATGATCGTGGTGTTTCCTTTACTTTTGGAGCTGATGTAGTCAGTAAATTTCTGAATCGTCATGATTTAGATTTGATTTGTCGAGCTCATCAGGTATGAAATATGATGCTCTCAATTTCTTTTTTCTTTTTTTTAGAGACAGAGTCTCGTTCTGTTGCCCAGGCTGGAATACAGTGGCGTGATCTCTGCTCACTGCAACCTCTACCTCCCAGATTCAAGCAATTCTCGTGCCTCGGCCTCCCAAGTAGCTGGGAGCATAGGCTTGTGCCACCATACCTGTACTCTTAAACACTTATTATTTGTTAACTTCACATAAGCCCTCTTATTTTGTTTTTTGAGGAAATGTATCCAAGAAAGCTAAGTGACTTGTACAAGGAAAGCAGTAGGAGAGGCAGCAGAGCCACTTCCTGGATCTCACACTTAACAATCTAATGATTTGTTAACCTTTTATCACCCTAAAAGAGGAAACATTTCAAAACATTTGGGGCTGGGCATGGTGGCTCACATCTATAATCCCAGCACTTCAGCAGGCTGAGGTGGGCGGATTACTTAAGCACAGGAATTTGAGACAGCCTGGGCAACAAAATGAGATCCCATCTCTACAAAAAGTCAAAAATTTAGCTGGGTGTGGTGGTGCATACCTGTGGTCCCAGCTACATGAGGGGCTGAGGTAGGAGGATTGCTTGAGCCTAGGAGGTGAAGACTGCAGTGAGCCATATTTATGCCACTGCACTCCAGCCTGGGTAAAAGAGCAAGACTCAGTCTCAAAAAAAAAAAAAAAAAAGAATGTATTTTTCTAGTATACAGCAACCCTAACAAAAATTGCAGTGCTTCTTAGAAGCTTTGTAGACATTATTTGGATTTTTTTTTTTTTGAGATGGAGTCTCACTTTGTCACCCAGGCTGGAGTGCAGTGGCACAATCTCGGCTCACTACAGTCTCTGCCTCCCAAGTAGCTGAGATTTCCAGCATGAGCCACTGTGCCCAGCTGGTATCAGTTATTTTAGCTGTGTCATAAACGTTATTGTTATTTAAGAAGAATGTCTGTATTTTTCCAGGAATGCATACTCAAGTGTGTAGAGGTAAAATAACATGCCTGGGATTTGCTTTAAAATCATATCAGCAGAAAGAAAAGGGGAGGGGGAAGATAAATGAAACAAGTGTAGCAAAATCCTGGTAAGTATTGAATCAGGGTGATCAGTTAATGGGAGTTAATTGAAATCTTGATCTACTTTTGTGTATGTTTAAATTTTTCATTATAAAAGCATTTATACAGTAGGGTTTTTGGTTGTCTTTTATGTCCTCCACTACTAGATAGCATACTGTCTAAGGAAGGGATTATGACTTGTTTTTGAATTTCGATTGCTTTGTACAGTGGCTCACATTGTAGCATATTGTATCATGCACACATAATGTTGAATTACTTAGAAAAGCATATTTAATTAAGTATATGCTATCCCACAGTACTTCCCTTTTTTTCTGGGGCTTTACTTCATGTGACACTTTACTACTGCCTTTTTTTTATCCTGAGTGGCTTTTTATTCTTTGCATATTATATATTACATGCCACTTTTATTTAGCAGGATTTCTTGGTAGTTCCGTTGAAATGAGGTCATGTTCCCACATCCATTGCTTTTGGCAAAGTAGTTTTTTAAATCAGTAAAATTGTGTTTATGATTTTGATAAATATGCCTTCTGTTGGGAAACTTAGCAATTCTGCCCTGTTATCTAACTAAAATGACCCCTGATAAGTTTTTTCAGCCATAGGTCTTTAGTCAGTGGTCTTTTCAGAAATAAATGACAATTTTAAAAAATCAGGTTACTGAACTATACAGGTTTCCTTGGTCTTTTCTTTTCCAGAAACTGCCAAAATCCTTTTGTGTTATTTTCAAATATTATCTCCAAAATTCTACAAATATCCCCTTTTTAATGAAAGATGAACATGTAAGCAAACTAAAAAACCAAGAACTAAAAACATGGAGTTCATGACCAGCCTGGGCAACATGGCAAAACCTGAAACCCCATCTCTACCAAAAAAAAAATACAAAAAAACCTAGCTGGGCATGGTGGCACACACCTGTGGTCTCAACTACTCAAGTGACTGAGGTGGGAAGATCGCTTGAGCACCAGGAAGTCATGACTGCAGTGAGCCAAGATGATGCCACTGCACTCCAGCCTAGGCAACAGAGCGAGTCCCTGTCTCCACACACACGCACACACACATACACACAGAAACAACTAAAAACATGAGTGCCATGTGCTATGTTGAGCGGGGTTACAGGGGTTAAATAAGGTGGCTATGGTCTTAGGAGAAAAGGTTAATAATCTAAATTGTACCATAAGGTAATTTCAACAGAAGCATGTTCCTAATACTGAGGTAGGAGTTATTTTAATAAGTAAATATCTTTGTAATTGCTTTTTTGTATTAGCAAGTGGTGTAGGATAATTTTGCCAATTAAAGGATATCTAAAATAGACTTAAAAGTAATCTTGCCTACCGTAAATAAATATAAAATATTTACATATTATTGCTTACCTCAGATTTGTAGAACTGAGAGACACATTGTTTAAATTACTCAGAAATTGACAACTGGTTCTAGAAATGGTAACTCATCAAGACTGGGCACTGTGGCTTACGCCTGTAATCCCAGCACTTTTGGTTGGCTGAGGCAGGCAGATCACCTGAGGTCAGGAGTTCAAGACCAGGCTGGCCAACATGATGAAACCTCATCTCTACTAAAAATACAAAACTTCACCAGGCTTAGTGGTGGGTGCCTGTAATCCCAGCTATTTGGGAGGCTTCAGGCAGGAAAATGACTTAAATCTGGGAGCACATGCTGCAGTAAGCTGCGATCATGCCACTGCACTCTAGCCTGGGTGACAGAGCAAGATTCCATCTCAAAAAATAAAAATACAGTTTTGGCAGTTGATTTAAGGAGCATGATCTGTGTAAATTAAACTCAGCTTAGTAATGTTTTCAATGCATAGCCATATAACAATGATAGATATTTTTTAAGCAAAGCAAGAAGTAAGCTCTTTGCAAAGTCTTCCATTGTCTAGTTGTTGCTCATTTAATTAAGATTTCTGTAGTTGGATTATAATGCCCTCATCAAAGTAGTACTTGGTATCCCTCCCAAAAAATGTAGATTAATTAAAATAAATTTAAAACTTAAAAAAAAACAAAAGTACTTAGTGTCCCAGCTCCCTGTACTCATTATACCTATTAGCATATTTTATTTTTTATCCGTGGGGAGTTTTGGAAATGGCATGATTTTTAAGCTTTGAGGAGTGATGAATTTATTATTCCAATTAAGATTAATTGTTGCCGTTATAGAAAAGGCACACCAATTTTAATGTTCATGTTTAAGAATAAAAATTGCAGCTTCCAAAACAAAACAGGGTTGTTTTTTGGAGAGTAGGGCACAAGTCTTAAGCCACATTACTCTTAATTAGTATAGATGATTCAGAATTACCTACCACTAAATGTTTTTTCTTCTGATATTTCCCTTGACAGGTGGTGGAAGATGGATATGAATTTTTTGCTAAACGACAATTGGTCACCCTATTTTCAGCCCCAAATTACTGTGGCGAGTTTGATAATGCTGGTGGAATGATGAGTGTGGATGAAACTTTGATGTGTTCCTTTCAGGTAAGATGTAAATATAAATTTATAAGAACTAGAAATCTAATAAAAACTATTAGCAGAATTCCTTTTAGATTTGCAAACTTTCCTTGAGCAAGTTTTGAAAGTCATTTTAATTCAGAAGTGATTACCACTCACTCATTAGATATTTCTATTTTCAGTCACAAAGTTTACAGCATTTTTGGTATAGATCAAATATGACCATTTTAGGGAACCTAAGTTATGTCAATTATTTTTGATTCAGATATTTAAATGGTTAAATTCCTCTATGACCTGTTGAATATTCATCGTGGATATTGACCTAAAATTTTCTTTTTAGTTGTATCTCTGCCAGGTTTTGGTATCAGGATGATGTTGGTCACATAAAATGAGGTAGGGAGAGTTCCCTCTTTTTGTATTGTTTGGAATAATTTCAGAAGGAATAGTACCAGTTCCTCTATGTACATCTGGTAGAATTGGAACCTGTATGGACCTAGACTTTTTTTGGTTGGTAGACTATTGATTGCTATCTCTAGTTCAGACCTTGTTATTGGCCTATTTAGAGATTCAACTTCTTCCTGGTTTAGTCTTGGGAGGGTGTAAGGGTCCAGGAATGTATCCATTTCTTCTAGATTTACTGGTTTATGTGCATAGAGTTGTTTGTAGTAAAGAGATGCCTTTTATTTTTTTTATCTTGCCTGATTACTCTGGCAGGGACTTTCAGCAGTCTGTTGAATAGAAGTGGTGAGAATGGTCATCCTTGTCTCATGTTTCTGTTCACAAGGGGAATGCTTCTAGCTTTTCCCTTTTCAGTATGATGTTGGCTGTTTGTCATTTTGAAGTATGTTCCTTTGATCCCTAATTTGTTGAGGGTTTTTCACCTGAAAGGATGTTGAATTATATTGAAAGCCTTTCTGCATCTACTGAGATGATCATATTGTGTTTGTTTTTAATTTTGTTTATATGGTGAATCACTTTTATTGATTTGCATATGTTGAAACCTCGCACCCAGGAATAAAACCTTCTTGATTGTGGTAAGTTAATCAAGTGTTGCTTGATGTGTTGCTGTATTCGGTTTCTTGGTATTTTGTAGACTCTTTTGCATCTGTGTTCATGAGGGATATTGGCCTGAGGTTTTCTTTTTTCATTATGCTTCTGCTGGATTTCGGTATTAGAGTGATGGTGGCTTTGTAAAATGAGTTAGAGAGGACTTCTTCCTGGATTGTTTGGAATAGTTTCAGTAGGATTGGTACTAGCTCTTTGTACATCTAATAGAATTCATCTGTGAATCTTTCTAGTCCAAGGCTTTTTTTGGTTTATAGGGTTTTTATTACTGATTCAGTTTTGGAACTTGTTATTTTTCTGTTCAGGTTGTGTGTGTTTCTATGAATCTATTCATTTCTTGGGAGGTCATGTGTGTTGTCTTTGAATTTATTCATTTCTCCTAGGTTTTCTAGTTTGTGTGCACAGAGGTGTTTATAATCTCAAGATATTTTGTATGGCTGTGGGGTTGGTTGTAATGTCACCTTTGTAATTTCAGATTATGCTTATTTGGATCTTCTCGTAAATAGCAGTCTATCTTGTTTATTCTTTTGAAGAACCAACTTTTGGTTTCAACATTTACATCTTAAAAAGGAGACCAGTTTTAGCTTTAGTGTGCTACTATAAATCATTCTTGTTCACTGAGTACAACAGCTTCAGTACTTTGCTTCTGCAAAGGCTATTCTGTATCCTTGATGTATACACATTATATTTCTCTTAAAATGCACTGGGGCTTTCCTATTTCTCTTTCTCATTGTTGTATAATACTGTTTCCATCAATTAGTATAATTGAATGGTAAATGGTTGATTGCTCATTTACAAATTAAATACAGTAACCATACCTTATCCTTCCAGTAGTTGTCATAGTGGTGTTGGATTAATACATTTCTTTCACTGAGGCACAATTATGTTCTAAATAGTTAAAAAAAATACTACTTTGTAAATCTTTCCATACTGTTTTATTTTTGGAAAATCATGACTTTTTTATGTATAATGTAGGTTAAAGCTCTGTTTATATCCACCAGAATGAGTATGATTAAAAAAAAAGAAGGCATACAGTAACAAGTTTTTGCAAGGATTTGGAGGCATAGAATTTTCATACATTAATGGTGGAAATAGAGTTCTCATATGATGCAGCAGTTTTACCTCTAGGTTACCCAAGATGTATGAAAACATGTTGGCACAAAAGCTATTACATAAATGTGCATAACAGCATTATTCCTTATAACCGAAAAATTGACACAATTCAAATGTCCATCAGCTACTGAATGGATAAATAAAATGTGGTACATCCATACAATGGATTGTACACTGTACAACTCAGCAGTAAACAGGAATGAAGTGCTAATACTTCAAAACTGGTTTTGAAACCCTAAGCAAAAGAAGCCAATCACAAAAGACCACATATTGTATGATACCAGTTATATGAAATGTCCAGAATAGGCAAATCTGTAGAGACAAAGTAGATTAGTGGTTGCTTAGAGTTGGAGGGTTTGGGGAGGTGTGGAGAGCAGGAATGGGGAGTGACTACTGATGGGAACAAGCTTTCTTTTTAGGGTGACAGAAATGTTCTAAAATTAGATTTATATCAATAAAGCTATTTTAAAATAAAAAGATCGATTTATATGTAAATAATGAGGTCTGAAGAGTTTGTGACTTGTAGGTTAATTTCTGTCCTAAATTTTAATATATCAGAATTAAGATGACAACATAGATCTTCTGACTCTTAAACCAGTGTTCTTTCCTTACAACAGAGATAACACTAATTCGAAAAAGTTTTTACTTAAATCTAAGGATTAGACAGTTGATGGAGGCCAGGTGCGGTGGTCAGAGACAGGCACATCACGAGGTCAGGAGTTCGAGACCAGTCTGACCAACATAGGGAAACCCCATCTCTACTAAAAATACAAAAATTGGCTGGGCGCGGTGGCTCAAGCCTGTAATCCCAGCACTTTGGGAGGCCGAGGTGGGTGGATCACAAGGTCAAGAGATTGAGACCATCCTGGTCAACATGGTGAAACCCCATCTCTACTAAAAATACAAAAAAATTAGCTGGGCATGGTGGCAAATGCCTGTAATCCCAGCTACTCTAGAGGCTGAAGCAGAATTGCCTGAACCCAGGAGGCGGAGGTTGCGGTGAGCTGAGATCGTGCCATTGCACTCCAGCCTGGGTAACAAGAGCGAAACTCCGTCTCAAAAAAAAAAAAGATGAACTCAGAGCCAGAACAAATAAACACAATAGAGGTCTCCATTTTAAACATAAAATATGCATTAACCACTTTAAACACTCAAAATATTGATCGGCCATTATTGAAACCCATTTTAGGAATGAAGTAATATTCCTTTTTCCCTCTTTTTCTTTTTTTCCCCTTCTTTCTCTCTTTTTCCCTCTAAAAAAAAAAAAAAATCACTAGAGTTCCTGTCTACCCTCCTTAACCCATCTTCTCCAGTGGGTTGGGAGTATGCCAATGTTAGTTTCTTAGTTTGGATGCTGCAGCACAATCATCTAAACTGAGAAATTAACACTGGCATACTCCTATTACCTAAACCACAGACATTGTTTGAATTTCACCAGTTTTTCTGAATAATGTCCCTTTTCTGTCCCAGGATCCCATCTAGGATCCTGTGGTGTGTTTAGCTGTCCTTCCTTAGCGCCCCCCACCCTTGCCCTGAAAAAAAAGAAAAAGAAAAAGAAAAAATTAGCTAGGTGGGTGGGTGCCTGTAATCCAAGCTACTCGGGAGGCTGAGGCAGGTGAATTGTTTGAACACAGGAGGCAGAGGTTGCGGTGAGCTGAGATCCTGCCACTGCACTCCAGCCTGGGTGACAGTGAGACTCCGTCTCAAAAAACATAATAAAAATTAAAAATAAAGAAATAAAATATGAGTGGAGTGACAACAGAGTTGAGACATTTGGATACTCTTTAAACATAAGAAAGTTTATGGAACTTTGCTATTCTACATTTTTATTGCACTTTTGCAATTTATGTCGTTTATTGAAAAAACAATTGTAACAATTTTCTTAAACCTATGTACTTGAAAGAATAACGTTGTTTGTTAATAATTTACTTTAAGATATTGAAACCATCTGAAAAGAAAGCTAAGTACCAGTATGGTGGACTGAATTCAGGACGTCCTGTCACTCCACCTCGAACAGCTAATCCACCGAAGAAAAGGTGAAGAAAGGAATTCTGTAAAGAAACCATCAGATTTGTTAAGGACATACTTCATAATATATAAGTGTGCACTGTAAAACCATCCAGCCATTTGACACCCTTTATGATGTCACACCTTTAACTTAAGGAGACGGGTAAAGGATCTTAAACTTTTTTCTAATAGAAAGATGTGCTACACTGTATTGTAATAAGTATACTCTGTTATAGTCAACAAAGTTAAATCCAAATTCAAAATTATCCATGAAAGTTACATCTTCACGTATCACAATTTTTAAAGTTGAAAAGCATCCCAGTTAAACTAGATGTGATAGTTAAACCAGATGAAAGCATGATGATCCATCTGTGTAATGTGGTTTTAGTGTTGCTTGGTTGTTTATTTTTAGCTTGTTTTGTTTTTGTTTGTTTGTTTGTTTTTTTCGCTAGAATAATGGCAAATACTTATAATTTTTTTCCGTAAACATTTTTAAAAGTGAAATACGGGAAGAGCTTTAAAGACATTCACCAACTATTACTTTCCCTTGCTTATCTACTTAGATACCTGTTTAATCTTACTAAGAAAACTTATGCCTCAGTACATTAAAAAGGAATTTTAGAGATTGATTGATTTTTAAAAAATATGCACACTGTCCAATCCAGTGATTTTAATCATACAGTTTGACTGGGAAAACTTTACAGCTGATAGTGAATATTTTGCTTTATACCGAAATTGCCACTGATTTGGATTTGTGCACTCTAATTTTTAACTTATTGATGCTCTATTGTGCAGTAGCATTTCATTTAACTTTAAGATAAGGCTCATATAGTATTACCCAACTAGTTGGTAATGTGATTATGTGGTACCTTGGCTTTAGGTTTTAATTCGCACGGAACACCTTTTGGCATGCTTAACTTCCTGGTAACACCTTCACCTACATTGGTTTTGTTTTTTTGAGTTTTTTGTTACTGTTGTTGTTTGTTTTTAGATCCACAGTACATGAGAATCCTTTTTTGACAAGCCTTGGAAAGCTGACACTATCTCTTTTTTCTCCCTCTATACGAAGGATGTATTTAAATAAGAATGCTGGTCAGTGGGACATTTTGTCAACTATGGGTATTGGGTGCTTAACTGTCTAATATTGCCATGTGAATGTTGTATACGATTGTAAGGCTTTTGTCACTAAAGATTTTATTCTGATTTTTCATAATCAAAGGTCATATGATATTGTATAGACATGCTTTGTAGTGAACTATAGTAGCAATAATTTCTGTACCTGATCAAGAGTTTATTGCAGCCTTTCTTTTCCTATTCTCTCTTTTTTTAAGGATTAGTATTAACAAATGGCAACGAGTAGAAAAGTTAACATAAAGATCTTAGAAGGAGAGAACTTACAGGACACGGATTTGTGATTCTTTGGCTGTGACACTATTGGATGTGTTTCTAAAAGCTTTTATTGAGCATTGTCAAATTTGGAAGCTGCATAGGGATGGACATCATATCTATAATGCCCTTCTTCTATATGTGCTACCATAGATGTGACATTTTTGACCTTAATATCGTCTTTGAAAATGTTAAATTGAGAAACCTGTTAACTTACATTTTATGAATTGGCGCATTGTATTACTGCAAGAGATATTTCATTTTCGGCACAGTGCAAAAGTTCTTTAAAATGCATATGTCTTTTTTTCTAATACCATTTTGTTTTAAAACACATTTTAAATGTAGTTTTCTCATTTAGTAAAAGTTGTCTAATTGATATGAAGCTTGACTGATTTTTTTTCTTACAGTGAGACCTTTAAACACACATTTTATTCACAGTTACTATGTCCTTGACGTATATTAAAATGATTCTTTTCTGAAAGTGTTCATGATCTGCATATGATGTGTTAGGTTAGGTCACACAGGCTTTTATCTGAGGTGATTTAATTAACTTCCTGATTGGAGTGTGTAAGTTGAGCAATTTCTAATAAAACTTTAGTTATGCTCTTTTAGTAGTCATAGTGAAGCAGGTCCAGAAAATAAGCCTTTGGCAGGGAAAAAGGGCAGTGTTGATTAATCTCAGTGTTAGTTAAACCACATTGATCTGCATCCCATTGTCTGGCTTTTATAAATTCATCCAGGTCAAGATTAAGTATGTTGGTTAATAGGAATCTTTTCTTTTTTTAAGACTGTGAAAAAATAATCACTACTTAAGCAAATTAATATTGGTCATTAAATTTAAAGGGTGGAAATTTATCATGTTTAAAAATCATTTAAGTACTCTTAAAACCACTTAGCCTCCAGTCATAAAAATGTGTTCTTTACAAACATTTGCTTGGTAATGCTACTTGAAATAAATAAAACTTTGTTTCTTAGGACAAAATTATTCTGTAATTCCAGTGTCACTAATTTATATTGTTCTTCCCTCTGATTTTCTAGGTTAGTGATTTTTTTTGTATACAATTTAACCCAGATGTTACAACATTCAGAAATCATGAAACACGGTAGATATCTTTTATAATGTGGTGTATCACATGAATTATAAAGCAAGATTATGGTCAGTTTCTATTCTTGAAAGAATCAACTACAGTGAATCCTTTGCATTTGAAGTTTTAACATTCTTTGCTTTAATTTTGCCCAGGGACAAATTTTAATCATCACCAAGACTGGTTTGTGCAAAGCATTGAGTCATCAGGTATTAAGAGCCTAGCCGACTACTCAGTATTCATGCTGCCATATCCCTTTATTGTAAAAAATAAAATACCTAAACATTTGTGAAGTTTCTTTTTAACTCAAAAATGCCGGCAAGAAGAATTTTAAAGCTTAAAATAGGTGGTAAATTTGAAGTATGAGTGTATTCAGGAGAAGCATATGCTTTTCAAAAAAATTTTTATTCAAGGCAAAGCAAGGAACATCTTGAGATATGTCTCTTAAGAATATAAATATGTATTATTTTAAGCCAAGGAGCTGAAATATGTCTCAGTTTATAAATTCAGGTATATTCTTTTTATCTCCATGGCAACCATAACTTTTGAACCAAAAAGAATTTTTTTTTACATCGTTTTGCTGAAAACGTGTTTAGAGTAGGAAAATGGTCAGGCTGAATTTGCTGTTGCTCCCTAATGAAATCCACTTCCTGTTTTCCTTGTGAGTCCATGCCTAAATCAAAGCTGCACCTGAGAAGAGACTTAATACAAGCCTGACTGTACTAATGGTATTGCTTAGAAATAGGCCGTCCCTCTTCCTAGTAGATCTTAATGTTTTATAATTTCTTAAAACATCTAAAAATTAGGACAACATACTTTACACAATGATCAATAGTTAAATAGGAAATAAACTAGTTCCATGTAAGTATACACCTAGAGTTTTAATTGCCTTTATAATGTTTCTTCAACGAAAGTAAAACTTAGATACAATTGTGATTGGATACTTAGATACTAAGTGAAACTTAGTGTAAACAATTTTGATCTGTTAAATTGAAGTTTACCTGTAAATTTGAATGCCAGAATTTATAAATAAATTCCCCTGGTTAGGAAATTTTAAAAGTCAAAACTTGTTTTCTTCAACCACTACCTTCTACATTGGTTGACTTAGACTATAGCTTTTTAAGTTTTTCACTGTAATTTGCCTTCTCATGCAGATTGCCGATGTTTTATTAAACCTTATTTTTACAAAAATGACCACAAATCTTTGCTTCTTTCCTCTTAAGGATCTTTGCTAGCTTATGCGATTATGAAATCTTATAACACCAAATTGGGGTATATAGGGTAGAAAGCAAGTGAACAGGGGGTGCGGGTAGGGAGGGCGTGTGTGTAGGGAGGGTGTGTGTGTATGTTTAAGGGAGAGAAGAAACTGCCTGAGGCTAATAGGTTCAGCATTCCTTTTGGTTGTTACATGCCAAAAGGTGGGAACCTAAGGTCTGTTACTGGAGGCTTTTCAGTCAAGCCTGCCCTAGGATCCGCTGGTTAAAGTGTGTATTAATTTTTACAGCTGCCTAATCGGAATGATTCAACAGATTTGCAGGCCAAATTTTTTCTCCAAAAGCAGTGACATCAGAGCTGAACATCTAGAATTTTCATAGATTATTGTACAAATTTATTTAAAGGCACACTAATTTGTGGTCTAGCATGTAAACATGGATCCTCAACAAAGCCATAAAGGCAAGTAATACAGTGCAACCAAAAAATGTTTGAGATGGAGTCTTGCTCTTGTCCCCTGTGCTGGAGTACAATGAATGGCACGATCTCGGCTTACCGCAACCTCCGCCTCACATGTTTGAGCAATTCTCCTGCCTCAGCCTCCTGAGTAGCTGGGGTTACAGGTGCCCTCCACCATGCCTGGCTAATTTTGGTAATTTTAGTAGAGACGGGGTTTCGCCATGGTGGCCAGGCTGGTCTCGAACTCCTGCCCTCGTGATCCACCCACCTCAGCCTCCCAACGTGCTGGGATTACAGGCCTGAACCACCACGCCTGGCCAGGAATATAACTAGTTTAATTTCAAGTCAGTTTTAAATCTCCTAGTAAGTTTTTTTGGGGGGGGAAAAAAAATGCAAGGAAACAAAACCAGAGTATGAAATGCTACCTCCAATATATAACTCAAAGTTGTAATTGGCATAGTTTCTGACAGTGCTGATGCTTACCAGCAGGTTATGGACAGACTGACACCTATTCCAGTCTTGAATAAATACAAACTTTTGTCTCTCTAGCTCTTAGTTTAATAAAAATTCCTGAGAAAGGAGGATGTGTAGGGTGGAGTTGCTGGAGAAAATGTCTTGTAGAACTCATAACTACACAATTTACCAACTTAAAAATTAATAAGCTACATATTAGGAAATATAGCTTACCACATTTAATAAGGAATTAGGAAGTATTTTGTGAAGCACAGGATCTAACATGGAACTGGGCCCAGCACATTATAACTTACCTGACTTGATTAAGAAATCTTAGAAATACAGTTCTCTGCCTCTCAGTATAATTGCCTCAGATTTTGTAGCACATCTCTAACTGGAGCTTGATAAGTCCACCGAATTTGTCATATTAAAGAACTAGGTTAAAAATTTTTTATTACTGTACTCAAAAGCTCACTTTGAGTGGGAGACCCTAATCTTTAGCGAATTCCCCAAACTCTTTGGGTGTGCTCACTGACAGATTAACAAAAGTTGTAATCCTTTTTTTTTTTTTTTTTTTTAAAGACAGGGTCTTACTGTCTCACCCAGACTGGAGTGCAGTAGGCTGATCACAGCTTACTGAAGCCTCAGCCTTCCCGGCTTAAGTGGTCCTGCTCCATTGGCCTCCCAAAGTGCTGGGAGAAATTATAGGCATGAGCCACCATGCCCAGCCTATTTTAATCTTAATAAATCATCAATTATTCCTTATACAGATCCATTAGGATGTTGAATTCTCCTTTAAAACTTTGTTATATTTGTCTCTAAGAGCCATGAGGCCTAGATAAGTCTTGTATATGACTAGAATGTTGCTCTTATGTGCAGGGTTGTTTTTTTTTTTTTCCTTCTCTCTCTTTTGAGACAGGGTTTTGCAGTGGTGCCCAGGCTGGAGTACAGTGGGCACTGTCTTAGCTCTCTTCAACCTCCTGGGTTCAAGCCATCCTTCCACCTTAGCCTGCCTAGTAACTGAGACTACAGGCATGTGCTACCACACCTGCTAATTTTTGTAGAGACAGGGGTTTTACCATGTTGCCTAGGCTAGCTCAAACTCCTCAGCTCAAGTGATCCCTACTTCAGCATCTCAAAGGTGTTGGGGTTATAGGCGTGAGCCATTGCACCCAGGCAGGTCTTTTTTTTCCTTTTTTGTTCACTGATATCTCCTCATCCGAGAGTGGCACCTGCCACATAGGAGGCATGCAGATATTCGCTTAATGAATGGCAAATGAGTCTCAAAAATGTCTACTTGTCCTACTATTTTGACACCTTGACCTGAAGAAATTAACCACAAATAATACAATTCCAGGTTTTCTTTATCCTCATGTAACTGCTTTTGTCTCTTAGGACAAGAATGCTGAAGTCTCATAGAGAAAGCTGTTTCGAATCTGTACTGCCAAAATAAATGGTTTGTTAAAACTCTGGCCCCTATTTTGTAAAATATTGGTAAGTGTAAGAAGTTGGCCGGGCACAGTGGCTAACACCTGTAATCTTAGCACTTTGGGAGGTTAAGAGTTCCAGACTAGCCTGGCCATCGTAAAACCCCATCTACTAAAAATACAAAATTAGCCTGGCATGGTGGCATACACCTGTAATCCCAGCTACTTGGGAGGCAGAGGCAGGAGAGTTGGCTTAAACCTGGGAGGTGGTGGTTGCAGTGAGCTGAGATCATGTTACTGCACTACAGCCTGAGTGACAGAACAAGACTGTCTCAAAGGAAAAAAAAAACGAAGAAGCCAAAAGTGTTCAGTTACTTAGAGCATTTTGCAGCTAGCACCTGACAGCCACAGAGAAGTTGTCTGTTACTGAGAACACACATTGCAAGATCCTTAGGATTACTTTCTTGCCTCCCCTTTTCTGTAGTCTCAATTCTATTTTATTGATCTTAATGTCACCTTTGTAGTGAGCTACCTCACATTTTTTGGAAAGTTGTATAGTTTGTGTAATATTTTGTCTTCCAGAATTCACCCAATAAGTATGAGTGCTTAAAACTAGGAATCATACTTGGAGAGGCTGTTAACCTCATTTAGCACAAGTATTATGTCATAGGCTAGGCAGAAGCAGTATGAAGAAACATCAACAGTATCTTTTCTGTAAGGAGTAAGAAAGTGATACAGCGGAGAAAACTTCTAGACAAATTTAATACAGTTCTATTATCTTGTTAGAATGATTGTTGCATTTTTTGGTTTTTTGAGATGAGGTCTCGCTCTGTGATCCAGGCTGGAATGCAGTGGCGCCATCCCAGCTCACTGCAGCCTCTGCCTCCCAGGTCCAAACAATTCTCTCTTCTGAGCCTCCCAAGTAGCTGAGATTACAGGGGTGCACCATCACACCCAGTTAATTTTTGCATTTTTAGTAGAGACGGGGTTTCACCATGTTGGCCAGGCTGTTCTCAAACTCCTGACCTCAGGTGATCCACCCACCTTGACCTTTCAAAGTGCTGGGATTACAGGCATGAGCCATTGCGCCCAGCTTCTTATGGTATATTTCTTGAACAGAAAGCAACAGTGAAATGATTCACAGTGTTACGCATTAGCATGGCTAACTTTATGAGGAATACTGAGGTTGAATAGTTCACATATAGGCTGGGCACAGTGGCTCATGCTTGTAATCCCAGCACTTTGGGAGGCCGAGGCGGGTGCATCACCTTAGGTCAAGAGTTACAGACTAGACTGTCCAACATGGAGAAACCCCATTTCTACTAAAAATACAAAATTAGTGACGTGTGGTGGCATGCACCTGTAATCCCAGCTACTAGGGAGGTTGAAGCAGGAGAAATACTTGAACCTGGGAGGCAGAGGTTGCAGTGAGCCAAGATCGCACCACTGCACTCCAGCCTGGACAGCAAGAGCAAAACTCACTCAAAAAAAAAAAAAAGTTCACAAATAAAACGTGTTTTAGGATATGCAAAGAAAAGCAAGGGAATGGGAAACAGTCACCTCCTGGGATCATTATGGGAGAAGGAGGAGCATATAGAATCTCAACAGTATTGTTGATGTCCTGTCTCTCGGATGTTAGGTTCATGTGTTTTGGTAGGTGGTGCATCACATTTTGAGTATGTATCAGCTTCCACATAGTCTACATGTATTATTTTGTACATTTTTAAAGTGTGTTTATGATCTGATTTATATTATTGTATCTGTATACACATTTCTATTTAAAAGATAGCTAGTTAATATGATTACCTAAATGGGAATTTCAAAAAATGCTACAGGAATTCAAGAGTTGCACAGAGCCTGCATTTCGTAGGCACTCAAATGATGGGCTGATTAATTTAAGCAGGGTCTTAAAGGATGGATACCAGAGAGAAAATTTAAATGAGAATGATGAAGAGAGCACACTCCAGTATATGTGCAAGGTCAAAAAAGTGGAAAAGTTCAAAATATTCAGAGAAACCAAGTATGAGTAACTCAGGAGTAAACAATTCTTACTGGATAATAGGGGGGAGATACATTTAGGAAAGGAGAGATAGGAAAATAAAATGGTGACAGACTGGAGGCACTGCGGGTCACAGTGCAGATGATCAAGTTACGGACAATCAGTGCTTTCCTCATCGGGGGAAAGCCATGCTTGAGCTCTCCTCATCCAATCCCAGGTCAAATGAAAGAGGCAAGAGGGAAACTAACAACACCTACTATGGACCAGTGCACTGCTAGTTTGCTCACTGTGAATTTTGCCCCAGATGATTTTACAGAGTTGATGGTATCACCCTACTTTGACATTTAGTGAGATGTGCCGGGGTTAAATGATTTGACCACATTCATACAGCTAGTAAAATGGAAGTACCTGAATTAAAACCAAGTGTATTATTCTAAAATATATTCACTTTTCTCCATACACCAATAGTTTAAAACAACAAAAACCTCAGGAATGAGAACACTCAAGAAGGCTTAGTTGGTAGTAACACTTTATTTGAAGTCAAAACTTAAGCAGTTAAGCTGCTGCTTCCCTAATAGCTTAATGAACATTTATGTGTATTTGCTGACTTTTATATGCCAATTTTACATTTCCTTTGTGAAGATTTTGGGATCCTAAGGAACCTTCTTGTAACTATACTTTCTGCATTATACAGGCACATGCATTTTCCTCATGGCACAACTCGGCATGCCTTGTATTTTAGTTGTGTCTGTATCAGTCTAGCTTGGAAGTTCTAGAAGGGTAAGGCCATGGCTGCGTCATTGTGGTACTTTGCATGCCTTCCACTTTGTGTTTTCCATGTAGTGGACATTGATTGTTCAGTCAGTGTTTTATACTCAAGGCTGGATATTAATCATCACAGGAAACACTGATACCTTGCAAAAATAAGGGGGAGGGGCAGGGAGAAGTCAGGAAGGATCCTTAGGAAAAGCCAGAGGAATGAAGCTTGAAGCAGCCATTTTCCTCAAGATTTTAACAACCAGTGAATGGGCTTCTTGGCCCATTCTCCCATTTACAGGCCAGGGAGAAAGAGTCAAAGGCATATGTAAGGAAAAATAGGTTCCCAGTTGGCCCCCTTCTCATACTTGTTGAATTTACCATTATCATAATGTGTGTGGAAGTACAGGAAAGAAGGAATTAGCCCGTTCTTCAGAACTGCTGACTGAGGATCTATTTGCTGGAAGTACCACAAGTAGCAGAGCCAGGTTGCCTTTTAAGAGTAATCATAGGCCGGGCTTGGTGGCTCACTCCTGTAATCCCAGCACTTTGGGAGGCCGAGGCGGGCAGATCACCTGAGGTCAGCAGTTCGAGACCAGTCTGGCCAACATAGTGAAACCCTGTCTCTATTTTTTAAAAGAAATAAAAAGTTGTTTATAAAAAAGAGTAATTGTATTAACCAAAAAATCTGGAAGCAGTCCAAATATCGAAATGACAAATGATCCATCCACTCTGGAATATTAGGCACTCATGGAAAATGTTTAGAAAGACTAGCAGCATGAAGAAAACTGTGATATGGAAACCAAAAAAACCGCAAAGGTTACACTGGGTGTGGTGGCTGAGGATTATAATCCCAGTGGGAGAATCGCCTGAGTCCAGTTCAAGGCCAGCCTGGGCCGCATAGCAGGACTCCGCTCTACAAGGAATCCTTGTTTAAAAATTAGCAGGGCGTGGTGGCATCTGTGGTCTCAGCTACTTGGGAGGCGGAGGTTGTAGTGAGCCGAGATCGCGCCATTGCTTCAGCCTGGGCGACAGAGCGAGACTGTCTCAAAAAGAAAAAAAAAAAAAAAAAAAGCCGGGTATACATTAGAAGGGACATAAGGAAAGGATGGGGGGGGGATCAAAAAGCTGTGAAGAATTCTTACTCAACATGCATGTGTTAAGCACCTACTTAGCCAAAGGCTAGGACGAAGCCAAAAAGATTCCTGCTGCAGATTCAGTCACAATAGACTGGCCCGTTCTCACAAGAAGCCACCGTATTCACGCGCTGTGCTTTTCTGCTCAGCCGACCTCTTCCTTCTGAGTAACCGCAGTAACCGCGCCGTGCCCGCGCGTGCCGGGCGGGCAGGGAAAGCCGCAGCCCCAGCCCCGCGGGGCCTGTCCGTCTAGTCGGAGGGAAGTAAACGGCCCCAACGCAAGCCTGACTGCGAGACGTGCCCAAGGGGAGGTGGTCGAATGAGCAGGGTGGTATGAGTTTTGCTTGGGCAGGTGGACGGGATAACGGCAGAGGGCGGCCCGCGGCCAAGGCTCGGGCGGGTAGCGGGTAGGGCCGCTGTTCGCCGAAGAGCGCCCCCAGGCAGGCCCCGCCCCCTCGTCCGGCTCTGCACGCTGATTGGCCCCTGCCGGCCTCGTGCTCACTCGCTCCGGGTTGGCGGGAGGTCTTCGAGCTGGTCCAGCTGCCGGCCAGCGACCGTCGAGCAACCAACCGTCTGAGGCCCGGAGCGCTCCGGCGGAGGCTGACCGCGCTGCGGCCCGGCCCTCTCCCGCGCAGCCCCAGGCTTACTCAGGTACCCGTGCTCGCCCCCGGGACGGGCCTCGCAGGCGAATCTCCATTTTCGAGTGTGCCAGGTCCCTGAGTTCGCTCTCGCCACCGACCCCACCGCCCGCCTTGGGTGAGAAGGCGGCTCCCCGGCCTCATCCTCACGCCGCCTCCCTTGGGCGCCCTCATCTGCCTTCGCGGTTATCACACACGCGCTCCCCGCGACGGGCTCTGGGCTGCGGGGCCTGGCGAAGGCGGCAGTGGCCGCGCAGGCTGGGGCGTTGACTGCCCTCTGCCTGGCGGCGTAGCGGGCGGAGGTTCCAGGGGGAGAATGGGCAGGGCCGAGACCCGAGGCTGCTCCCGAAGCTTGGCTGCCTGCCCTGAGGGAGGGCCCTGGGCAGGCGCTCCCGTCTCCACGTGTGCCCGCCGCCTTTACTGTGGGGGGAATGGAGTTCTGGGGGTGTTTTTAATAAATCCTGCCTCCTGTGTCCCATTAAACACCTGCCCAGAATCTTGAGATCTGAGCTGCTGTGTCTCAGTGTCAGGCCCTTAGACCATGTCTCAGAATTAATGATTCTCTTACATGACAACCAGTAGAACAGGAGGCCCCCCTAGCCGCAAACTTTTAAAAAGCCTTAGGCTGAGGCGGGCAGATGGCTTGAGGCCAGGATTCAAGAGCAGCCTGGGCAACACAGTGAAAACCCTGTCTCTACAAGAAATAATGTTTAAAAAAATCAGCCGGGTGTGGTGGCGCGCCTGTACTCCCAGCAACTCCGGAGGCTGAGGCAGGAGAATCGCTTGAACCCGGGAGGCGGAGGTTGCCGTGAGCCAAGATCGTGCCACTGGACTCCAGCCTGAGCAACAGAGTGAAACTCCATCTCAGAAAAATCAGATAAAATCAAGCCTGTAATCCCAGCACTTTGGGAGGCCGAGGTGGGTGGATCACGAGGTCAAGAGATCGAGACCATCCTGGTCAACATGGTGAAACCCCGTCTCTACTAAAAATGCAAAAAATTAGCTGGGCATGGTGGTGCGTGCCTGTAATCCCAGCTACTCAGGAGGCTGAGGCAGCAGAATTGCCTGAACCCAGGAGGCAGAGGTTGCGGTGAGCCGAAATCACGCCATTGCACTCCAGCCTGGGTAACGAGCGAAACTCCGTCTCAAAAAAAAAAAAAAAAAAAAGATAAAATTAGCTGGGCACGGTGGCATGCACCTGTTGTCCCAGCGACTCGGGAAGCTGAGGCGGGAGGATCACCTGAGCCCAGGAGGCGGAGGCTGCAGTGAGCTATGTTGTCACCTCTGCACCTCAGCCTGGGCGACAGAGCGAGACCCTGTCAGTCAGTCTTTGAAACGCTGATAAGCCCATGCTCTGCAGACACTAGGATCATATCTATTTACAAATTATATTATGTTTTAAATACAGCATCTCTGTTATCAATAAAATTTTAACATTTAAATTACATTTGCAGCCAGCTTGGCTCACCGCCTGTAATCCTAGCACTTTGTGAGGCCAAGGGGAGAGGATCATGAGGTCAGGAGTTCGAGACCAGCCTGACCAACATGGTGAAACTCCATCTCTATTAAAAATACAAAAATTAGCCAGGTGTGGTCGAGGGTGGATACTAATCATCACAGGAAACTTGGGATGTAATCCCAGCTACTCAGGAAGCTGAGGCAGGAGAATCTCTTGAGCCCAGGAGGTGGAGGTTGCGCCACTGCACTCCAGCCTGGACAACAGAGGGAGACTTCGTCTCAAAAACAATTGAAAAAAGAAGAGAAAACAATTAGCCTGACATAATGGCACTTGCCTGTAATCCCAGCTATTTGGGAGGCTGAGGCAGGAGGATCACTTGAACCCGGGAGGATGAGGTTGCAATGAGCCGAAATCACATCACTGCACTCCAGCCTGGGTGACAGAACAAGACTCCATCTCAAAAAAAAAAAAAAAAGTATATATATATATATATATATATATATATATATGAATGAGTAGCCTTATAGCTACGGTTAGCTGGTTTTGTTTCCTTGGCAGAGTAACAGACAATAAGTAAAATTTGATTGCTTACTATGTGTCAAGAGTTTTACACGTGATTTTATTTAATATTTAAAACTTATTTAATGGTTAAAGAATATGGGACTTTGATATCAGTTCTGCATTCAAATTCTAGCTTTATCACTTACTAATTATGAGCCAAATTTCTTCTCTAAGCTTCAAATTTCTCATCTAGAAAATAAGGATAAAATAATACCTACTACATAGAGATGTTTTGAGAATTAAATGAGATAATGCATGTAACATATTCAAGAATGTCTGGTACATACTCTTAGTGTGTGACTGCACTCATAAGGAAAAGCTTACCTGCCTGTCCTGACTGAGTTGCCAATGGATATTGCTGGTAGGTTTTTCATATAGGCAAATGAATCCCCAAACAACTGCTTGTTTCCTTTTATGGCTGTGAACCACCACCCTTTATATTAACCCCAAGAGAACAGATTATTTCAGATGCCTCTAGAATTTTTGTGATTTACTTACCAAAAAAGAAAAAAAAGAGAGAGAGAAGGAAAAAATCTAGACATCCTATTCAAGTATGAATTCTGGCATGATTTTTTTTAATGTTCATGGAATCCATATAAAAATTGATTAAAGGAGGCCAAGTGCAGTGGCTCATGCCTGTAATCCCAGCGCTTTGGGAAGTCTGGCAAAGTTTTTTGTTACTTTAGATGAATATGCTTCCATACAAATCTCAATTCTGATACTAATTTTTCAATGGTAAAAGTGAAATCCAGTCCTACATAAAAAATAGAAACAAAACCCCATCTCTACTAAAAATACAAAAATTAGCCAGGAGTGATGGCAGGTGCCTGTAGTCCCAGCTATTTGGGAGGCTAAGGCTGGAGAATCACTTGAACCCAGGAGGCGGAGGTTGCAGTGAGATTGTGCCATTGCACTCCAGCCTTGGCAACAAGAGCAAAACTTGGTCTCAGAAAGACAGAAAGATTTTACTGGTGAGCATAGTTTCTCCTACTTCTTTCCCTATCTCTTGCCCTTTCAAAAATGCCTCGTATTTTGATTTTCATACTTTTCCTCTTGCTATCAGAACTCTCATTCTCTTAGTGTATCTAAATGAAGAGCAAAATTAAAAGATATCCTTAGCAGCTTGCAGAACTGTGAGCTAATTAAATCTCTTGTCTTATAAATTAAAAAAAAAAAAAAAAGATACCCCTAGGTAGAACTTTACCAAGACTGTGTAGCATTGATAGCTTCTCTCCTTCAGCTTGTTCTACACAACTTTCCTGCCAGTATTTGCTTATTAACATCAATGAATTTCTACTTGGAGAATTTCAGACATTTTTTTCTCATTCAGTTTTCTGAAATTTTGTATGAAATATCCCAACACATACACAAGGGTTTAGTGGAATAAGGACGCCTACTGTGGACATATTTAAACTTTTTGATTGATCAAAAATTTGGATTATAATTTATGATATATCCATGGTGGTTTTAATATAAAAGCACTATTTTAGGTTACTTACCATTGAATAAAACCTCCTGGAAAATGTACCACAGTTGTTTGTGTTCTGGTACATTCCACCCAAGTCTAGCCCCAACACTCAAATTTGAAGCAGAATTCTTAGCTACCAGTACCACTGATAACTCCACCCTAGAATTTGAGAAGCCTGACTATTTAGTTTTTTCTATCTAGACTTAAGGCTGCTCTTAATTTGAAAAAAAATGTGCAGATGAGGCCTCCAGCTGTTTCCAGACGAGATGGGCGGAAAAGAGCAGAAAATTCTTAAGTCTCAAGGCTCAATTTACCACCTATTCCTCTTTCTATGGAGTTTATATCCCACACCCCAAGTACATAATTGCCTTCAATTTGGCAGGACCTTAGGATCTAGGAAGAAAGATGGGATGAGAGGAGCAATTAAATAAGTATAATTTTCTCTGCCTAGTTCTTCAAAATGTAGCCCTGTTCTATCTACAAAAAATAATTTTTTAAAAAACATGGTAGCCACTTGTGGCTATTAAACACTTGAAACTGAATAATTTAATTTTTACTTTAAACCTGAAAACTGAAGGAACATATTTTTTTCTTACAAATTATTTTTTAAATAGGACTGGATTTCACTTTTACTGTTGAAAAATTAGTGTCAGAATTGAGATTTGTATGTAATCATATTCAACTAACAAAAAAAATAATTGATATATGCTGTACGTGGAAAATATACAGCAAATTTCAAAGTCAGGATGTTAACTATCTTGTTGATTTGGTTTTTTTTTTTTTTTGATGGAGTCTTGCTCTGTTGCGCAGGCTGGAGTGCAGTGGTGCAATCTTGGCTCACTGCAACCTCAAGCAATTCTCCCACCTCAGCCTCCCAAGTAGCTGAGACTTCAGGTGCTCACCACCAAAACTGGCTAATTTTTGTATTTTTAGTAGAGATGGGATTTTGCCATGTTAGACAGGCTGGTCTCGAACTCCTGACCTCATGATCCACCCACTTTGGCCTCCCCAAGTGCTGGGATTACAGGTGTGACCCACCACGCCCGGCCTCTCATTGATTTTTATATTGATTACTTGTTAAAATGGTATTTTGGACATATTGGATTACATAAACTATATTATTAAAAGTAATTTTATCTGTTTTGTAAGGTGGCTCTAAATACAAAATTGCATATGTGGCTTGCATTGTATCGGATAGGGCTGCTCTAGCCTCACTGTATCCAATCTTATTTTCCAGTCCTTCCTTCAACAGGGAAATTTCTGAGAGTCAGGAAGGGGAATCTGTACCTCACTCCTTGAACACCAAGTATGGCTGTCTGAGCCACTGTGAAATTGCATTCAGAGGTTCTCAATAGGGTCCTAGAGTAGCTTTCTGTGTTGCTTATTCATACCTCCACTTCCCATTATGCTAGAAATATTTGACCACAAAAATAATACTAACTGTAGTAATTATGTGAACTAATCACCACCAAAGAAGGTGATGATTATATATATTGTTAAATATGATAGATTAACTTTGTCTCAAAAAAAAATTTTTTTTGAGATGGAGTCTCCCTTTGTCGCCAGGCTGGAGTGCAGTGGCACCAGGTTCAGCTCACTGACACCTCTGACTCCCTGGTTCAAACCATTCTCCTGCCTCAGCCTCCCAAGTAGCTGGGATTACAGGTGTATGCCACCACACTCAGCTAAGTTTTGTATTTTTTTTTAGGAGACATGGGATTTAACCATCTTGGCCAGAATGATCTCTATCTCCTGACCTTGTGATTCACCTACCTCAGCTTCCCAAAGTGCTGGGAATACAGGCGTGATCAACCATGCACAGCCATGTCTCAAATTTTATTAGATTATAACAACATTCATTCATATACACTTATAATCAGTCACTCAAATACCTTTGTCATACTCTTACTTTAGACCAGGGCAGGCATGGTGGCTCAAGCCTGTAATTCCTGTACTTTGGGAGGCTGAGGCAAGAGGATTACTTGAGCCCAACAGTTTGAGACCAGCCTGGGCAACACAGTGAGACCTCATCTCTACAAAAACATTAAGAAATTAGCCAGGTGTGGTAACACACTCCTGTGGTCCCAGCTATAAGGAAGCCTCCTCAACCCAGGAGGTTGAGGCTGCAGTGAGCTGTAATCATGCGAGCATACTCTAGTCTGGGTGACAGAGCAGGACCCTGTCTCAAACACACACACACACACACACACACACACACGAAAAAAAGGAAAAGAAGAAAACAAGTCAATAAGTAAAATAAAAATTAGACCAATTATGAAAAGCCTTCAAAGCACTTCTATGTTTTTTGCTAGAATTGATTTAAACAAATACCAAAAAATGCTTATTAAATAGGTGCATTTTATAATATATCAAGGAGTTTACCAATAAGGAGATATTGGGTTTTTGTGTGTAGGGGGGTGCTTTGTAATATAATACTTGATAATAAGTTCTGGAAATGGTTTTCCTTGAGAGATATATATATATATTTTTAAATAGAAATGGGGTTTCACCATGTTGGCCAGGATGGTCTCGATCTCTTGACTTCATGATCCGCCTGCCTCCCAAAGTGCTGGGATTACAGGCGTGAGCCACCGTGCCCAGCCTAGTTTTCCTTGTTTATAAAAAATTTGAGGTAGCCTATAACAACCTTCTGATAAAATTATGTCAGTTCAAACAGAATAGAAAATATTAGCAGGAAAAAAGACCACAAATAAATTATAAAGTCAGCATCATTTCTATAATTAACTTTCAGTTTGGTCTTGAGTTCTGTAGCCAAAGCAAAATGGCATACAGTATCTTATTATTTAGGAAGAGGATGTATATTTGTTACTCAAAGGAAGCATAGCTTTTCCTAGCACTGAATTTCAAAAGCAATTTTTATGGGGGTCACTGTCACAAATAACATTTTAATGGCAAGTTTAGTAACATTTTATGACTTCATATGGTAGTATCATCCAGTTGTTTTATATAAAATGTATGCATGTGATGAATAATTGTATGTTTTATTTTTACAGGAATATTGGAAAACCAAAATGAGGCACAATCAGCTGTGTTGTGAGACACCACCTACCGTCACTGTTTATGTAAAATCAGGGTCAAATAGATCACATCCGCCTAAAAAGGCCACTACCCTGAAGCGTCCTATTATTAAAGATAATTGGCAAGCATCTGATAAAAATACACATAATAACAACAAATCTAAACGCCCCAAAGGACCTTGTCTGGTTATACAGCGTCAGGAAATGACTGCTTTCTTTAAATTATTTGGTAGGTTTAAAATATTGTAATAGCGGTAGTTATAAAGAACTAAAAACCTAGAATGTAAACACCTAATTGTTTTCATACTGATCAAAGAGGATATCATTATTTTTGTATTAAATTTCCCATCTCCAACCAAATTTGTTTTTGTTTTACTTAGTCTTTTTTTGTTTTTAATATTGGGTTTTTGTTTGTTTTGCTTTCTTATGAATTAAAGATTCATATTCATCTAGCTTCTAGACTACTTAAATCCATATGCCAAATGTAAATTCTGGACAATTCAACTTCATAGCCCATGGTATGAGGTTTGTTTGACCTAAAGTAAAATACTACATAAAGACAGGTGAGCTAACTGATCCAGTTTGACTGAGCCTAAGGGGTTTCTCAGGACTTTCTCTGCTAAACCCAAGAAAACTAGGGAGCTTGGTCACACTAGAGAAGTTTCAGGATAACAATCTGGGAATATTGTTAAAAATTATGCTTTATCATGTCCACATAATGAAATTACGTTTGAACTTGTTTCGGTTATGAGACAGTGCTACTTTACTGATACATTTTGTAACACTGGCAAAAAGAAATTTCTTTATAGTACTGAACTCCTAACAAAGAAAGAGAGGAATTTTCTTTTTGAGGTAGAAAAAGGGGTAGGATAGATGAGTTCTGAAAAATAATTGAAGTCATGAATCAAGTCAAGTAGATGCTACAGTCTGGTAGATCTAGGTAACAAGTTTCCTTGTTTCTAGAGGAAGGTCAGGTGCCTTAAAACAAGCTAGTTATGATTCAAAGAAAAGCAAAATGAAAAAATGAGATTGGACAAAAAAAGATGAAAAATATAAGGAATGTAAGTAGAAAAAGATATGAAGATGCTTCCCCATCAGGATTTAGAATGTTAATAAAAGTTCTCCTTTTCATTAAGAGCAGAAGAAAATTACTACCTGCAAACTTTTTTAGTACCCAAAACTCATCATGAGATACAAGGGAAAATACCTGGCTATACCATTTTAGATAACTTAAGAAATATAAACAAAATCACTAGGCCAGGCGAGGTGGCTCATGCCTGTAATCCCAGCACTTTGGGAGGACAAGGCGGGTGGATCACTTGAGACCAAGAGTTTGAGACTAGCCTGGCCAACAATGTGAAACCCCATCAGCCATGGTGGCACACCCCTATAATCCCAGCTACCTGGGAGGGAGGCAAGATAATCACCTGAACCCAGGAGGTTGAGGCTACAGTTGAGCCGAAATCATGCCACTGCACTCCAGCCTGGACAACAGAGCAAGATTCTTTCTCAAAAAGGGAAAAAGAAAAGAAAATGTGTGGTGGCTGATGCCTGTAGCTCTTTGGGAGGCTGAGGCAGGTGGATTGCTTGAGCTTAAGAGTTCGAGATCAGCCTGGGACAAAGTGGCAAAACCCCTTCTTTACAATACAAAAAAAAGTTGTCTGGGCATGGTGGCGTACACCTGTAATCCCAGCTATTTGGAGGGCTGAGGTGGGAGGATCTCTTGAACCCAGGAGGTTGAGGCTACAGGTGAGTCAACATCATGCCACTGCACTCCAGCCTGGTTAACAAAGTGAGGCCCTGTTTAAAAAAGGAAAAAAAATTAACATGGCAGAAATTATTATTCTTGGGAAATCAGTAGTTATTCTTGGAGCTTTCCATGTATTTGACAACACTGATGATAGTTTAGTATACACAAATGAATAGAAGTTATGCCTTTTTTCTTAAAATGAGGGAGAGGAGCCTGGCATGGCAGCATGTTCCTGTAGTTCCAGCTACTCAGGAGTCTGAAGCCAGAGGATCACTTGAGCCCAGGAGTTCAACGCCAGCCTGGGCAACATAGTGAGACCCTGTGTCTAAAAAAAAAAAAGATGGGGAAGGGGGGGATGGAAAAAAAGCAGATTTTTCTAGATTACATTCTGATAACTGTTAATATATTTTGAGATTATATAGTTTAGCCCTTTAAAATTGAAATAAATATTTTACCTACTTTCTAGATGTTACTACTTTAAACAATGTGTTTGTTGGTTATTTTATCCTAATGTTTTTTTTCAAAATGTTAATTATAAATAACTAATGAATTATGAATCATTTTTATATAGACATTTTCATATGTATTTGAGTAACAGAAAGTGGAACAGAAATAAATAGGAGAGAAGAATGCAAAACTAAAAATACTATTGGATATTCAGTAAACCAAACACTTCTACCATTCCCCTTCCAATCGGAGACATATATTAAGGCAAATCAGATGAGATTATGAAGGATAAGACAGTAGTTTTTTGTACAATCCTTGCAATGGTAAATACACCCATTAACTGAAAACCATACCTTAGGCAACCCTAGTTCATTCATTTTTGTTTTATTTCTAAGTACTGTGTATAATCTCTTGACATAAAAATTAATTCTTCAAAAGAAACATTCTGTTTTTAAAAGAGAAGTTATAGCTGTCTTTTGTTGTAGATGACGATTTAATTCAAGATTTCTTGTGGATGGACTGCTGCTGTAAAATTGCAGACAAGGTAAATTTTGTAACAGTATAACCATTAACCAGCATTATAATGTAACTGAACCATTGGGGCTGCTTTTTTTTTTTTCCTGTGGTTTGTAACCATTAGAGCTTTAATGAGACCTTATAGGAACTTTCTATCTTATTAGTTATGGTTAAGAAAAGAGCTAGCGGTCAGGCACAGCAGCTCACATTTGTAATCCCAACACTTTGGGAGGCTGAGGTGGGCAGATCACTTGAAGCCAGGAGTTGGAAACCAGCCTGGGCAACATAGTGAGACCCCTATCTCTACAAAAAAATTAAAAATTAACCGTGTGTGGTAGCATGCACCTGTAGTCCCAGCCACCCTGCTGAGGTAGGAAGATTGCTTGAACCCAGGAGTTGGAGGATACGGTGAGCTATGATCGATTGTGCCACTGCATTCCAGCCTGGAAAACTGGAATGCGAGACTCTGTCTCTAAATGAATTAATTAAGTTAAAATTTAAAAAAGAGCTAGCCTGCACTGTTCCTTCAAAGTAGAATCCCTACACATTAATTTCTGTAATTAGCATATAGCATAGATTCAGCCTATACTTGAGGAATTGTTGAATATTATTGATTACATTTAAATGACCTTAAATCTGTATCTGATTGAAAAATAAAACAGGTGTGTTGGCTTACACCTGGATTTTCAACACTTTGGAAGGCCATAACAAGAGGATCACTTAAGCCCAGGAGTTCCTAGGCTTGGTAACATAGGGAGACTTGGGCTCTAGGAAAAAAAAAAAATTAGCTGGGCATGGTAACTCATACCTGTAGTCCCAGCTACTTAGGAGGCTAAGGCAGGAGGATTGCTTGAGCCAGGGAAGTCAAGGCTGCAGTGAGCTGTGATTCCACCACTGCACTCCAACCTGGGTAACAGAGCAAGACCCTGTCTCAGAAACAAACAAATAAAAACCACAAACAAAAAATCACTATAGACAATACATTTTAATCAGTTATTACCTTTTATCAGGCTCTGGAGAAAAAATAGTCTTGAGATTTACTTTACTAAGGCAGTCTGCATTTTAATATTTTGTAAGTAACTCAGAGAAAACAAATCTAAGTAATTTTGTAGGGTAAAATTAGTTTAACATGTTCTTTAGGAATCAGTGTTTTATAAAAGAATGTCTAACTTACACACTGGGAGCAGCAATGTTTCTATGTTCTTTAGATTTTGTTGAATGGTTAAAATTTCAGCTTTGTGGCTTACACCCGTGATCCCAGTGCTTTGGGAGACTGAAGTGGGTGGATCACCTGAGGTCAGGAGTTCAGTACCAGCCTGGCCAATATGGAGAAACCCTGTGTCTACTAAAAAATACAAAAATTAGCTGGACTGTGGTGGCCTGCCCCCATAGTCCCAGCTACTCGGGAGGCTGAGACAAGAGAATTGCTTGATCCCAGGAGGCAGAGGTTGCAGTGAGCCAAGACTGTGCCACCGGACTCCAGCCAAGGTGACAGAGCAAGACTCTGTCTCAAAAATAAATAAATAAGTAATGAAATAAAATTTCAGCTTTGTATTTTTCAATTTTTTTCTTTTAGAGAAAACTTCCTCATGCTATCTAGTCAAAGAATTTTCAGCTTTGTAAGTGCCTTTGTATACCAGGCAGTCATATTTGAAAATTAAGTGTGACTTTACATCACTGCTAGCCAACAGTAAAGGGAATGAATGGAAGGTTAGCTTATGATTATACTCACAAAGTTAGCACTGGGGTGAACATTTTTATTTAAGCTTAAGATGACAGGGATACACTAGAAGAAGGTTTATACCATTTTCTAAATTTCATTTTGGGAAATTTAAAACATACACAATTTAAAGTAAATAGAATAGAGCAAAGAGCCTCCATGTGCCTCTCATGTAGCTACAATAGATCATCAACTGTGACCATTCTTGTTTTTTCTAATGCCTCTCACCAAAAAAACTGGATTGTTTTGAGGATGATCCCAGACTTTCTGACATTTTATCCATAAACATTTCATAATGTATCACTAAAAGTTAAGGGATATTTTAAAACAATTACAATGTCATGACACTTTAAAAAATTAACAGTAATGCTGTAATATCAAATATCCAATTCATGTGGAGTTATGGTTTTAAACTTTATGATTTTTTTTTTTTTTTTTTTTGAGACGGAGTTTCGCTCTTGTTCCCCAGGCTGGAGTGCAATGGCGCGATCTCGGCTTACCGCAACCTCCACCTCCTGGGTTCAGGCAATTCTCCTGCCTCAGCCTCCTGACTAGCTGGGATTACAGGCATGAGCCACCATGCCCAGCTATTTTTTTTTTTTTTTTTTGTATTTTTAGTAGAGACGGGGTTTCACCATGTTGACCAGGATGGTCTCGATCTTTTGACCTCGTGATCCACCCGCCTCGGCCTCCCAAAGTGCTGGGATTACAGGCGTGAGCCACGGCGCCCGGCTAAATTTTGTGATTTTAAGGTGCATTAAAGTTGCTGCGCAGAAGGGGGCAGTGTTTGAAAAGTAACTAACCAAGGGTACTGTATCTTAACACTATTCCAAGAATCCTTTACTGAAGTTACTGTGAAAACTTGGTATCACCTTTGTGGCAAATCCTGTTACAATAGGATGAATAAATGTCTTATGAGAGATAATCTGATACATTATTATAACTTGTTTTTAATTTGGACAAAACCTGGCATATATCCTAACTATCAGGCTAGAGATGTATCTCTCTTAATAATACATTTAAAACTCAGTCTTGCCCATGAAAATAGAGCCTTGTTATTCTAATTTCTGAAGTCATTTGGAAGCCATTTTTAAAAGTCATTTTAAAAAATGAGTATGGATGTCTGCAACTAACTCAAAGAGCTTAGAAAAAATTATATATACACATACATATACACAAATAGTAGAGGTATTAAACATGGCAAATTTGGTGGATCTAAGAGGATTCATGGCTATTCATTTTGCTGTTCAATTTCTCTATAGGTTTAAAGTTTAAATTAAGTAAAAGTGGGATTTTAGCTCAAAAAACTATTGGCTATAATAAAACCCATTCTAGTTAATAATGATATAAAAAATAGTCAAGAACTACTTTTCACTGTTCACATGGTGGATTACAGGAAGTCAAAATGTAAGTACACAATTATAAGTAACACTTTATTGTTTTAGCATATTCATCAGAAAATTTTAAGTTAACTATTTTAAAGAAGTTTTATTTATGAAAGCAAAATATTAATTTTTAACCTTTTTCTTTATAGTATCTTTTGGCTATGACCTTTGTTTATTTCAAGAGGGCTAAATTTACTATAAGTGAGCATACCAGGATAAATTTCTTTATTGCTCTGTAAGTATACTTTATACTAAGTGACTTTTTGTGTTATTTATTATAAATATGACACCTTATTTAAAACAGAGGCTGTCTAAAACCTTATGTATATCTTGGAATAGTCTTGTATAAATGCTATACATTCTTTACTTTATTAGGATAGTTTTATGCTTTTTTTCACTTACCTTATCATGCTATATGCCTAAGATTTCTTGTTTAGTATTCCACTTCAGTCTATATTGGATGTTTTACATTTTCCAGAATGCTTCCATATAAATTATCCCAAATTCTCCTCTTTGTGACTTAGATATTTTTTAAAAACCAGAATATTCTCTGAAATTTTCAATTAATATATAGTAAAAATCACTGTCATTCCCCTTTTACATTGAACAATGTGTGGAAAATGCTCTAAACATAGTCTTTGTGGATCTATATCTACAACATAGGCATTGTCCATATTTGATACCTTTAGTATTCACTAGCTTCTTTACTAAACACACTGAGCTGTGACAAAGGAATACGGTTTGTTTTCCATTTCTTCCATTGACTTTATATTAGTTTATATTATCATTGTAATCTGTGAAATGGTTTTCCAATCTATAGATCAGAATTCATTTAGAATCGGTATAATTTAAGAATATATTTCTGGCCAGGTGTGGTGGCTTACACCTGTAATCCCAGCATTTGGGAGTCTAAGGTGGGTGGATCATCTGAGGTCGGGAGTTCGATACCAGCCTGGCCAACATGGTGAAAGCTCGTCTCTACTAGAAATATAAAAATTAGCCGGGCATGGTGGTGGGCACCTATAATCCCAGCTACTCAGGAGGCTGAGGCAGGAGAATTGTTTGAACCTAGGAGGTGGAGTTTGCAGTGAGCCAGAATCACACCACTGCTCTCCAGCCTGGGAGGCGGAGTGAGACTGCATTTCAGAAAAAAATGTATGTGTGTATATATATATATATGTATACACACACATACATATATACATGTATATATATTTGGATATAATACTGCAGTTGGGAATGTGTGAATATATATATTTATTTATTTTATTTTATTTTTTTTGAGATGGAGTCTCACTGTGTCACCCAGGCTGGAGTGCAATAGTGCAACCTTGGCTCACTGCAACCTCCGCCTGCTGGGTTCAAGTGATTCTCCTGCCTCAGCCTCCCAATTAGCTGGGATTACAGGAGCCTGCTACCACACCAAACTAATTTTTTGAATTTTTAGTAGAGACTGGGTTTCACCATGTTGGCCAGGATGATCTCAGACTCCTGACCTCAAGTGATCCACTCACCTCAGCCTCCCAAAGTGCTAGGATTACAGGCGTAAGCCACCATACCCAGCCACATGAATATAATTTTAAGTGTTTAACTAGAGAACACATATAAAACATATTTAAGTTGAATACCACAATAGCTGTCAGCACTGAAGAATAAGTTTTTACTCAAAGTGTATTTAATTCAGAATCAAAGACTTATTAAAGAAATAGGACTAACCTGGGTACAGTGTCTCATGCCTGTAATCCCAGGACTTTGGGAGGCTGGGGCAGATGGACTGCTTCAAGCCAGAAGTCCAAGACCAGCCTGGACAACATAGCAAGTCTCTACAAAAATAAAATAGCCAGGCATGGTGGCATGTGCCTGTAGTGCCAGCTACTTGGGAGGCTGAGATGAAGAGGATCACTTGAGCCCAGGAGTTCAAGGCTGCAATGAGCTTTGATCACTACTGTATTCAAGCCTGAACAACAGAGCAAAGCACTGTCAGAAAAAAAAGAAAGAAAAAAAATAGGACTAGGAAAAACTGATTTCTACATGTATTTGGGAGATATGTTTTCCAGTACGTAGGGAAAAATGAACTGAAAACTGGGGATGATTGCTATATTGGAAAAATAGAATAGTATTAGCTAATACTATTATGTGCAAGGCACCACAAAAAATTTAATATAATAACTCATTTAATCTTCCCTATGAAATTTTGTATTAACTCTGTTTTACAGATGAGGAAACTGAGACTTAGGAAGATTAAGTACTTTGTTTTATTTTGTTTTGAGATGGAGTCTTGCTCTGTCAGTCAGGCTGGAGTGCAATGGCTTGGTCTCAGCTCACTGCAACCTCCGCCTCCTGGGTTCAAGTGATTTTCCTGCCTCAGCCTCCCAAGTAACTGGGATTACAGGTGCCCACCACCATGCCTGGCTAATTTTTGTATTTTCAGTAGAGACGGGGTTTCACCATGTTGGCCAGGCTGATCTCGAACTCCTGACCTTGTGATCCACCCACCTAGGCCTTCCAAAGTGCTGGGATTACAGGCATGAGCCACCGTGCCCAGCTGAAGATTAAGTACTTTCTAAGAGCAAACAAGTTAGTAAGCAGCAAAGCAGGAGCACAAACTCAGGAGTGGTTTATCAATGACCAAATTCAGCCATCAACCACTAAGTTAAATTTCTGTTTAGATATTTCAGTATTGTATGTTGATGCAATATTTATTTTGTAGTTTTTTCACCTGAGAATTAAAAACAAACCAAAAGAAGCTTTAGTTTAAATCTTACTAGATGCCTAAAAATGAATTTTTGTTTTGTAAAGTTATTATCAGTAGAGCACTAGTCAGTTTATGCAATACAATTATCTGTCAGATTTTATTGCATGTTGTATTATAAAGCTCCATATTAAAAATAACATGTATTATAATTTCCATTTTAAGTCTTATCGTACTTTTTGTATGGACTCAATAGTTCTCCTCATTAAATATTTCAGCCATAGTTCTAAAGCTCAAGTTCTTTTTCCTTTCGACATAGTTTCTTATAATGTTTCCTTTCTGTATATTCTTTTTTTTTTTTTTTCCCCAAAACAGTCTTGCTCTGTCTCCCAGGCTGGAGTGCAGTGGCTCAATCTTGGCTCACTACAACGTCCGTGCACATTCAAGTGATTCTCCTGCCTCAGCCTCCCAAGTAGCTGAGATTACAGGCACATGGCACCATGCCCAGCTATTTTTTTTTTTTAATTTTTATTAGAGATGGGGTTTCACCATGTTAGGCAGGATGGTTTTGATCTCCTGACCTCATGATCCGCCCACCTTGGCCTCCCAGATAGCTGGGATTACAGGCATGCACCACCATGCCTGGCTAATTTTGTACTTTTAGTAGAGATGGGGTTTCATTATATTGGCCAGGCTGGCCTTGAACTTGCGACCTCAGGTGATCCACCCACCTCAGCCTCCCAAAGTGCTGGGATTACAGGTGTGAGCCACCGTGCCTGACCTGAAGATTGATGCCTTTCAACAGACAACTCAGAAAATTCTATCCACTGTCTTCAAATATTCCCCTTCCTCTGCTATCTCCTTTTGAAACCGGTTATTGTTACACCTCACTCAGTCTTCCACATCACTTACCTTTGATCTTTTCTTTCTCTTTCTTTTTCTTTCTCTCTCTCTTTTTCTTCTCTCCCTCCTCTCCCTTCCTCCCTCACCTCACTTCTTTCTTCTTTCTTTCTCTTTCTTCTTTCTTTCTTTCTTTCTCTTCTCTCTTCCTCCCTCCCTCCCTTCTTTCTTCTTTCACTTTCTTTCTTTCATTGTCTCTCTCTCTCTCTTTCCTTCTTTGAGTTTCACTCTAGGCTGGAGTGCTTCTTTCTTTTTCCCACCCTCCCTCCTCCCCTTCTCCTTCCTTCCTTACATCTTCCTTCCTTTCCATCTTTCCTTCCTTCCTCAGAGTCTCACTCTAGGCTGTAGTGCAGTGGTGTGATCTCAACTCACTGCAATCTCAACCTCCCAGGAACAAGCAATCCTCCCACCTCAACCTCTCAAATAGCTGGGGCCACAGGCATGCACCACCACACCCAGCTAATTTTGTATTTTTTTGTAGAGACAGAATTTCTCCATGTTGCCCAGGCTGGGTCTCAAACTCCTGAACTCAACCAATCCACCTGCCTTGACCTCCTAAAGTGCTGGGATTACAGGCATGAGCTACCACTGCACCCATCCCCATCTTTGCTATTTTCTATCTATGTTTCTTTGGGCTGCATTTTGGATCATTTATTTAGATTTATCTTTCAGTTCACTAATTTTATCTTCATCTTATGTCTAATATGCTAATTTCATTATATAATTTTCCATTTATAAAAGTTCTATTTTCTTATTTTTCAAATATACTTATTCATTTATCATAGTATCAAGGTACTTTTAACTTTTTTTACATATACTGGAGATAATTATTCTTATATTTTTGTGTCTATTCCAGTATCTGTTTCTGCTCTTGGTATCTTGTTCCCTTATGTGTTTTATAATATTTTTATGGTAAGTTGACCATTTTTCTTGAACGTCATCTGTGGGATTTGTATTATTTCCAATGAGAACTCTAATCCATCCTTATTTTTTCTCTTACTACTTTTAAGATTTACTCTTTATCACTGGTTTCGAGCAATTTGATTATGCTGTTTATTGGTTTAATTCTCCATGTTTCATGTGCTCTGAAGTTCATTAAACTGCTTTGTAGGTTTATAGTTTTTATTAAATTTCAAAAACTTTCAGCTGTTATTCCTTCAAATGTCTTCTGTCTACCTGATTTTCTGTCTGACCTTTTCAGATTACAGGGCATTGAAAGAGTCCTGCATTGTTATTGATACTGGCCGTCAGCATCTCCAGTTCCACCTATTTACTGAAGTCCCACATCAAACTGATGCTGTTTATTTTTTCTTAATTTAATTTATTATTTTTTTCTTTCTTTATTTTTTGTTTTTTTTTTTTTTTTTTTTTTTTTTTTGAGACAGAGTCTCCCGCTGTCGCCCAGGCTGGAGTGCAGTGGCACAATCTCAGTGGTTCACTGTAACCTCTGCCTCCAAGTTCAAGCGATTCTCCTGCCTCAGCCTCCCAAGTAGCTGGGATTACAGGCATGGCCCATCATGCCTAGCTAATTTTTGTATTTTTAGTAGACATGGGGTTTCACCTTGTTGGCCAGGCAGGTCTTGAACTCCTGGTCTCAAGCAGTCCGCCCACCTTGGCCTCCCAGAGTTCTGAGATTATAGGTGTGAGCCACAGCACCTCGCACTGATGCTCTGTTTATTATTTTCGTTTCTCTTTATTCTGTGTATTTCATCTTGAATAGTTTCTATTATGTCTTCAATTCACAGATGTTTTCTTTGTGGTATTTAATCTGCCATTAATCCGAATCAGTGTATTTTTCATTGTACACATTGTTGTTTTCATCTCTAGAAGTATATTTTCAATGTCTACTTAACTTTTTGAACATACAGAATAGTTATAACTGTTACAATGTCCTTATCTTTTATGTCAACCATGGGTATCAGTGTTGGGTTGATTTTGATTTCTTTTTTCTTTTCTTTTCTTTTCTTTTTTTTTTTGAGACAGTCTTGCTCTGTTGCCCAGGCTGGAGTGCAATGGTACAGGTCTCAGCTCAGTGCAACCTCCACTTCTCGGGTTCAAGCGATTCTCCCACCTCAGCATCCTGAGTAGCTGGGACTACAGGTGTGTGCTACCATACCTGGCTATATTTTTTGTATTTTTAGTAGAGATGGGGTTTTACTATCTTGGCCAGGCTGATCTTGAACTCCTGGCCTCGTGAGCCACCCGCCTCGCCTCCCAAAGTGCTGGGATTACAGGCAAGAGCCACTGTGCCCGGCTGATTTTGATTTGTTATTCGCCTCATGATGAGTCATGTTTTCCTGCTTCTGTGCATGGCTGGTCCCCCTGAAGTATTTAGCAGAATACTGAGTTTCATATGTGTATAAGAAAATTACCTGAATCTGGGGAAAGATGTTAAGAAAAGATTAGGAGGAAAGGTGCCTAGCATTCACATAGGGCTGCAAATAGTACCTGTTCCCACCAGCCAGACTGAAAGATTTATAATTCATGGGGAATTGAAAAGATCTTGCCTCAGTAGTGAGGAATAACTAGCCCCAGACTGAACACTGCTCTAGATCCACCTAAAAAAATCATAAAAGCAACATCAGAAAGGATCAGATTATTTCAAAGTAACTTTAACTGCATCCCAGAACAAAGTTCAAGATTTATAGGAATAAGAAATACCTAGAACCCAACAAGGTAAAATTAACTGTATTCTATTTTTGAACTGCATTGCCTTAAGTGAGGTTGAACACCTTTCATGTGTTTATAAGTCACTTTTATGTCTTTTTGTTAGTATAAACAACCTATTTCTGTCCTTTACCCATTTCTTTTTTGGGTTGTGATCTTCTTTGTTAGGTATCTGGCTAATACAGTTGAAGAAGATGAAGAAGAAACCAAGTATGAAATTTTTCCATGGGCTTTAGGGAAAAACTGGAGAAAATTGTTCCCTAATTTCTTAAAGTTAAGGGACCAGCTCTGGGATAGAATTGACTATAGGGCTATTGTAAGCAGACGATGCTGTGAGGAGGTAAGAATTTTAAAATGCTTTATATATGTAATCTTTGTTTTCTGTTTATCTAATTATACTTGTTTTTTAATGTGCTTCTAATGTTTTGGTATTCTGGGGTTTTTTTTTGTTGTTGTTCTTGTTTTTGTATATGTAGAGTAGACCATTGATCATTACCATGAATACAACTTGTGTATTACAATGTTGCTGTCTTATTATCACCATAATTAAAAACTGTTGGCTGGGCTCAGTGGCTCACGCCTGTAATTCCAGCACTTTGGGAAGCTGAGGCAGGTGGATCTCCTGAGGTCAGGCAGGAGTTCAAAATCAGCCTGGCCAACATGGTAAAATCTCATCTCTACTAAAAATACAAAAATTAGCCAACCATGGTGGCAGGTGCATGTAATCCCAGCTACCTGGGAGGCTGAGGCAGGAGAATCACTTGAACCCAGGAGGCAGAGGTTGCAGTAAGCTGAGATGGTGTCACTGCACTCTAGCCTGGGTGACAGAGTGAGACTTCATTTCAAAAACAAACAAAAAATTGTCATTTCTATTTTTCAGAGCAGCCTATTTCTATAGTAAGTACTTTTAATGTATTTCTTCTGTCTATATCATCAATATATCAACAAAGGGTGATATGAACAGATCAAAATGTCTTATTTAGGATTACAATAATACTGGAGTTGAATAATAATTTCTGTTCAATAAAGTTAGTGAAATTTCAGGTTCCCAAAATTGAAACACATATATTAAATGGTATACAATTTAAATATTCTTTAAAATAATAACTCTTTTCACATAGAATAAATTATTTTCTTGATGCCAAATCTTATCAGGACAAGGCCAGGAGCAGTGGCTCAGGCCTGCAATCCCAGCCCTTTGGGAGGCCAAGGCAGGTTAATCACAAGGTCAGGAGTTTGAGACCAGCCTGGCCAACATGGCGAAACCCTTGTCTCAAAAAAAAAGAAATCTTATTAGGACAAATCAGCAGGACACTAAAAATTTAACAGTTATTTTATCAAATGTTCTGGCTTTTAATAAAGTCAGTATTTCAAACTACAGAAAAATTCTAGAGTAGAAAATTAAATGGAAAGTAGTGGCCACTGTAAGCTCTAGTATTAGTTCAGAAAAATTTGATAAATGTGGGCTACTTGATGCACTTTGCAAATAGTTTTGATAGAATTAACTTATTCTTTTATTTTGAGACGGAGTTTTGCTCTTGTTACCCAGGCTGGAGTGCAATGGCGCGATCTCGGCTCACCGCAACCTCGCCTCCTGGGTTCAGGCAATTCTCCTGCCTCAGCCTCCTGACTAGCTGGGATTACAGGCACGCGCCACCATGCCCAGCTAATTTTTTGTATTTTTAGTAGAGACAGGGTTTCACCATGTTGACCAGGATGGTCTCGATCTCTTGACCTCGTGATCCACCAGCCTCGGCCTCCCAAAGTGCTGGGATTACAGGCATGAGCCACCGCGCCCGGCCACTTATTCATTTATATATTGATTTAGTGAGTACTTAGTAAATATCTACTAGAAACTATATTATTTCTTTTAATTTAAAAAGGGCAGCTGGGCATAGTAGCTCACACATGTAATCCCAGCACTTTTGGAGACTAAGGTGTCTGGATCGCTTGAGTCCAGGAGTTCAAGACCACCCTGGGTAACATGGTGAAACCCTGTCTCTACAAAAAATACAAAAAATTAGGTAGGGGTGGTGGTTCACACATATAGTTCCAGCTACTTGGGAGGCTGTGGTGGGAGAATCACCTGAGTCCAGGAAGTTCAGGCTGCAGTGAGCTGTGATCATGCCACTGTACTCCAGCCTCAGCAATGGAGCAAGACCCTGTCCCAAAAAATAAAAATAAAAAAAGGCTTGAAGCAAAAATAGAAATATTACATGTATTAATTCCAGGCAGTAGGAATATAGATATTTGTTATATTATTCCTAATGCTTTTTCATAATTTTAAAATTTATCAACATTTTTTCACACCGCCACCACCCAAATTTATCAACATTTTAAAAAAGATTAATGGAACTTATTTTTCCTCTTCAAAAAGGTCACCTTATTTAAATGAATTTAGTCCCTTTATCCTTATCACAATACTTTGTTTTCCTTCTATATCACTAAACAAAATTTGTAATTATTTATTTGCCTGTCTATTGTCTAAACAATAAACTGCAAATGTAATGAAGTGAAACATCTAGTACACTTCTAATATCTCCCATCTCTGTCTTCACACTTAAATTACAACAATCATGCATTATTCTCTTTTACTGAGAAAACAGAAGCAGTAGAACAGACTGTCAGTATGCTCACATTTTATCGTTTATCCTACCTACATGCGTACCCATATATTCTGCCTTCCTTGTGTTACTGTGAAAGAATGATCTTCGTTCCTGTCCAAGTCTACTTGTGCACTAGATCTCATCTTTTCTTACCTTCTCAAGGACATCACATTCCAGTAATTGTCCCCTTTCCAGCATTTTACACTTTTTATTTTATTGGGTCACTGCCATCAGAATACACAATTGCTCTAAGATGTCCATCAATAAAAACAACAAAAACTTTATCCCCCAGCTACCACTACATTTCTCTGCTTTGCTTCCCTTGTAACTAAACTCTTGGAAGAATTGCTTGTATTCTGTCTCTACTTCTGTTCTTTCCATTCTCTTTGAACCTGTTATATAAAGTCTTTTTCCCATCATTCTGTAGAAACTCGTCAGGGCACCAAATATCTCTATATGGCAAAATCCAAAGGTTAATTATTAGTCCTCAATCTACTCAACTTAACAGCATTTGACATTATCCCTCATTTCTTCCTGAGACACTGTCTCCACTTGGTTTTGAGGATACCAGCGTTTTTTAAAGTCACTTTTGCCAGTTCCTTTTCACCTCACCAACTTCATTAGAGTGCCCTTAGGCTCAGACTTAGTATCTCTTCTCCTTTCTATTGGTTTTAACTTATTAGGTGACCTCATTCACTCTCAAGGCTTTAACATTAACAACTCATACTTTCTCCCAATTCCAGATCTGCATACTAAATGGCCTGATATTTTTTGTCTAATTGATATCTCAAACTTAACATGCCTAAAATTAAAATTCTGACTCCTTGACACAGACCTCCACATCTGCTCCTTCTGCAGTCTTCCACATATTCATAAATGGCAACTCTATCCTTTTAGTTGCTCAGGCCCAAAAAGATACTATTTCCATTGACTTCTTTTTATTATATTCGTACCTTGAAAAATTATCCAGCATTCTACCATTTCTTACCACCTTCACCACTAGACTACTGTACTGTTGTCACCTCTTGCCTCAATTATTGTCATAAATTTCCAAACAGTCTCTCCTACCTCCCACCTTTTTTTTTTTTTTTTTTATTAATGCAGGGTCTGGCTGGGCGCGATGGCTCACGCCTGTAATAACAGCCCTTTGGGAGGCCGAAGTAGGTGGATCATGAGGTCAGGAGTTCGAGTCTAGCCTAACCAACATGGTGAAACCCCACCTCTACTAAAAATATAAAAATTAGCTACATGTGGTGGTGTGCACCTGTAATCCCAGCTACTCAGGAGGCTGAGACAGGAGAATTGCTTGAACTCGGGAGGCAGAGGTTGCAGTGAGTTGAGATGGCGCCACTGTACTCCAGCCTGGGCAACAGAGCAAGACTCTTAAAAAAAAAAAAAAAGACAGGGTCTTACTTTGTTACCCAGGCTAGAGTGCAGTGGTGTGCTCATGGCACACTGCAGCCTCAACCTCCTAGGCTCAAGTGATCCTCCTGTCTTAGCCTCCCAGGTAGCTGGGACTACAGGCATGTGCCACCATGCCTGGCTAATTTAATTTTGTAGAGATGGGCTCTCACTATGTTGCCCAGGCTGGTCTTGAACTCCTGTGCTCAAGCAATCCTCCCAACTTGGCCTCCCAAAGTGCTGGGATAGCAGGTGTGAGCCACCATATGCAGCTATAATCTATTTTTCACACAGCAGCCAGAGTAATTTTTTTTTTTAGGTAAGTCAAATCATGACTCCTCTACTCAAAAGGCTCCAGTGGCTTCCAGCCTTGCCTATGGTAAAAAAAAAAGTCCTAGTCATGGTCCTACATGGCCTAGCAGCCCTCCTCCCTTATCTCTTTGATCTCATCTCTTTGCTCTTCCACTTAAGCTACACTGGTCTCCTTACCTCAAAGATACCAGTTACACTCCTATCTTATGGTCTTTGCACTTACTATTCCCATAACCTGGAATGTTGTTTCCTAGATATCAGTATGTTTCACTTCCTAATTACATTCAGGACTCTGCTTAAATGTCACCTCAGAGAGACCTTTCCTTATCACCTTATATAGAGTAGTATCTTTCTCCATGGAACAGAAGTGTCCAGAAACAAACCCTCAATTATATTCAATTGAATTTTGACAAGGGTACCAAGAAAATTCGATGGGGAAAGTGTAGTCTTTTCAGCAAATGGTGCTGGGAAAATTGGATGATCTACATGCAAAAGAATGAAGCTGAACCTCTGGTTTATACCATATATAAAAATTAACTCAAAATGGATCAAAGACCTAAATGTAAAACTTAAAACTATAAAACTCTTAGAAGAGGCCAGGCATGGTGGCTCATGCCTGTAATCCCAGCACTTTGGGAGGCTGAGGCAGGCGGATCGCAAGGTCAAGAGATCAAGACCATCCTGGCCAACATGGTGAAACCCCGTCTCTTCTAAAAATACAAAAATTAGCTGGGTGTGGTGGTACGTACCTGTACTCCCAGTTACTCGGGATGCTGAGGCAGGTTCAATTGCTTGAACCCGGGAGGGGGAGGTTGCAGTGAGCCAAGATCCCACCACTGCACTCCAGCCTGGTGGCTGGCAACAGAACGAGACTGTCTCAAAAAAACAAACAAAAAAACTCTTAGAAAAAAACATAGGAGTAAGTCTTTGTGACCTTGAATTAGGTTTCTTAGATATGATACCAAAAGTAACAAGTAACAAAAGAAAATATAAAGTGGCCATCATCAAAATTAAAACCTTT